TATATATATATATATATATATATATATATATATTCCGGGACCTGGACCTGTACATACATTACGTAAATTCGTTTACGAGAGCACACGCAGATGTGTTCGATAGAAGCCGATCGCACGCCAATCCATCGCTACGCGATCTACACGAAGCACTAAATAGGGATGACCCCAGATTCCGAGAAAGAGACAACATAAAAGGCCAACGAAGGCCAATCCTGAGAGTCACTATCAGGAGCTCCGGTAAGTATAAAAACTTTTTAACTAGATTTCAAATTCACTTCTTTTTCAGAATCACTAGGAAACACTTGCTCGCGATACAAAGCCACTCGTCTCCGGTTAGTTGTTGGGGGTCCCATGCATTAAATAACATTCAAGTGAAGTTTGATTACTTAAAATACCAGATTAGACAGTAAAAGCACCTAAAGGCTGACTTTTGACCGCAGTAGGTCAGATGTCAATCTGGCTCAAGTGCACATCAGTTAGTTGAGGACTGCTCCGGAGGAGCGGGGGTGGATGGACGAGATGGGATGTTCTGCACACAGTACCCGTATAGGAAATATTTCAACTCAGGGCACTCAACCCGGAAGAGGGCATGGGGGAATTCTGTACCATCTGCTTTAAGGACTATCAGAACACTTCATCCGTTGCCTCGTCGCATTTGAAAATGCCAATCGCAGCCGTAGCCGTTAGTCATAAAAACCTTCAAATCACGGCCAAAAAAACGGAAAATAGGTTTGATAGAGTGTTCATACTAGTGTTCAACGAGATGAAATTGCTTTCATTGGGTAGTATTGGGTAATCGATGTTATGGTCTGAGTAAATATTTTTAAAATAAGTAAAAAAAGCATGTGTGTTCAAAACTTCCATTTAACATACAGAGTTACCTCTTTGAAGTTGACTGCTTCTTTACTTTCTGTCAAATTTTCGGATAACCCCCCTATATTTATTTATAATCATGAGCATGTCAGAATATATTTCGGATTTGGCATCACCCCGTATATGTTTATTTCCTCGTGCATATCGTCAAGGGGACTAACCAAAAAATTGCTCTTCGCGACAGACTGACAAAAGTTTGAGTTTGACAATGACAGTTCGAATGAAACGTGCGAGCCGGTGCTGTCGCGTATCCAGAAACCAAGGTGCCGATTTACGTGTGCTCCTTTATACCCACAAAGCAATCAACCCCTTACAGTCCACTATTCGCTGCTGATTGGGCAGATGCATGCCCTTCACCCGAAAGCTGCAAAGTAAGAGCAGGTAAGGTGATAATCTTTGACGATTAGATCCGACATTTTGGGAGCACATGCCAAAGTCAATCAATTCCGCAACACTCTCTTTGGAAAAGGGAAAATTTTACTTTATGAGATACTCACGGATTTTCGCGATTTTTTCTGTGATGATACTACGTGATGGTAGGAATTCAGAACACTTTTTATTTTTTGTCGGACTCAATTAGTTTTCGAGATATAGCCTGTCAAAGTTTGTATGATGTCATATTTCACCTGTTTTTATTAAGCAATGAACGATTGCAATTCACATATCTTCAATTCAACACATCTTTTTCCATATCATCGCACTTTTTTCTATCCCTTTTCATTCACTTATTGCCAAGTATCTTGAAATTAGATTGAAATTCCATAATTTGTCACATGCTAACTCAATTCCAACCTAACCCGACCTAACCTAACTCAGTCTAACCTTACTTTAGAATTTTAAAAAAATATGTATCCTCAACATCTAACCTGACCCACAAATTCTAAAATATTTAATTAATAGTAGATATTTACTTTTGTAAATGTAAACGTAAAATTATATTTCCTCAACATCTAACCTGACCTCCGAATTGTAAAAGGAAAGTATTTTCGAATATATACTTTTGTAAAAACTATGTTTAACATCTAACCTGACCTCCGAATTCTAAAGGTAACGTATTTTCGAATATTTACTTTTGTAAAAACTATGTTTTTTCTCAACATCTAACCTGACCTCTGAATTCTAAAAGGAACGTATTTTCGAATAGTGAAACTTAATGCAATTTATAAAAAGTGATTTGTGTGCACCCACGGACATAACCTATAAGGTTATGCACCTGACAAATTATGGAATTTCATTCTGATTTCAAAAAACTCGGCAATAAGTGATTGAAAAGGGATAGAAAAAGGTGCTATGATATGGAAAAAGTTGTGTTAAATAAAAAATACGTGAATTGCAATCGTTTATTGCAATTCACGTATATATAAAAAGTAAAATATGACGTCATACAAACTTTGACAGGCTATATCTCGAAAACTAATTGAGTCCGACAAAAAATAAAAAGTGTTCTGAATTCCTACCATCATATAGTATCATCCCAGAAAAAATCGCGAAAATCCGTGAGTATCCTATAAAGTACAATTTAGCCATGAAAAATTCCCACTTTTTTTGCATAAAGATGAAGGAGAAAAAAGTCAAAACCTTCTTTTTCCCAAAACTAATCTCTCCTTAAAATATAACCTTTCAATTCAAACTTACCGTATTTTATAATTCACCTTATTTTTCCTGTACATGTGTTTGTATTTATATGTTTTCAACCGATGTTGTTATTAAAAATACTTTTTTTCTGACATATCCTATATCATTTTGTGATGAAATATGATATATCAAACCTATTAAAGATCACTTACTGCAGTGGCTTAGCACATCTCCAGTTGACTGATATTTGTCTGGAAAATCGGGGTAACCCTTCAGTTTTGTGAACATTTCTACTGGTGGAAAGTTCAAAATACCTGTTAGGAGATTCAGTCGTCCCCTATGCGGCATTGCTAATACTATTTGTTGGATATCATCTGAAAAATAGAAATCAGCAGTTAAACCAGCCGTATAAAAACTATAGTAGACAATTACCTTCAGCCGCGAGTTGGAATATTTCACTGAAAAACACGAGCATACTCTCAGCACCTTCGCCTCCATACCGTTTGAGACTGGTGAACTTTTTCGCTAGAAAGTTGTCGAAACTTTGCGATTTCAGTAGTTCGCTTCCTATCGCAAATTTTTTATCATTCGGAGTTTCATAAGAGGGTAGTTTTTCCAACTCTTTACTGAGCCACTCGATTTCTTCAGCATCCTGAAATGAAGGATATTTCTGCAAAACTAAGATTAGCTCAACATATTTGTCGATAACAAGTTGTTATCTGATTTTGTATTGGATTTGCCACTAACGATTCATTCCAGTTTCACACGGGTGCAATTTACAATTATAATTTTATTGTGTCAACATGTTTTTATTACCATCGTAACTTCTTTGCGAAAGGTCTGATTTGAAGGCAGATACTTTTGATCTATGTTGTTTCCCCTACCTGAGTTGGCCTGGTTACCTGTGCTGGTCTACCTACGTTTGTCATTATGCTCGGATGTCTGTTTGATTTTGTGAAGTAGTATGATGGATATCCCTGTTGCTGGTATATCAGCCACGCCCTTCAATCTACAGGGCCACATTTCACCGGAAATAATGAAGCTCATCAGAATCAGAAGACGCTTGAAGAGAAGATATTAACGGACACGCCGAAAATCATACCCGCCATTACACGGTTAGCAAACAATCGTCTACACGGATCAAGATAAAGCAGAAGCATTTGCTGATAATTTCGAAAGAAAGTGTAGAGAAAATGATGTCTCCTTCACGGGCGAAGTAGAAGAAATTGAAAACCAAGTCGAACAGACGGTACGCAGGATAAGACGACAGGACGACCGAGGAAGTGAAAGGCACCGTAAGAGGCCTTGCCATTCAGAAAGCACCAGGCCCGGACCAAATCCCAAACCGGGCACTGAAGGTCCTACCAAGGAAGGGTATAGCGGCAATGACAAACATTAATAATGCTCTACTCCGACTACAACATTTACCATACCCTTTCGAATAGGCAACGGTCATCCACATACCGAAGCAGAAGAATAATCATCCATTCTCGGATAACTACAAGCCAATAAACTTAACCCCTTCCATGAGCAAAGTGGCAGAACGAGTCATTTTGAAAAGATTAGACGACCAAACCATTTTCTTACAGATACTCAGATACAAATTCATTCAGTGGGTTCACGATAGATAAAATGAACAAATTACGGAAGTAAAAGCACCTAAAGGCTGACTTTCGACCGCAGAAGGTCAGATGCCAATCTTGCTGAAGTGCCCATCAGTAGGTTGAGGTCGACTCAGGATAAGTGGGGGTGGATGGAAGATATTCTAGCTTCTACACACAGTATCCGTATGGGGAAGATTCTATCTCAGGGCATTCAACCCAGAGGAGAATGCTCTGGAGTATATACAGGCCAAATCGGTAGAAATTTTGACGTGAGGCTCCATGAACACGTCTGTTTGGACAAAACATCTACAATGTATGATCACCTACAAGAATCAAAACACAAGATACATGAAGATAACCTCAAAATCCTAAACATATGTAATAAAGAGAATGAATGAATGAATTTGTTGGAAGCCATGGAAATTAACAAATCAAATAAAAACCCTAAATATATACCCCTAAACGAACAACTGGATGTATGCAGGTGTCCACTCTTGAATTTATAATTTTGACAAACCCTATAATTTTCAGGGTTGATTTTATAGTTGGCATCCTTGTTCATTCAACTATCTCGCCTTCTGGCTTACCTGAATACTCCCTATATAACCTAGCTTTCAGATTTCTCATGTTATTTTTATACTTGATAATGGGGTAAAATCCGTGAAAATATTGTGAAATTGGGAAAGTGGAAATTAGACAAAAGTGTTTTTATTCATTTCATTAAAACTTAGTACGTTAGTTGACCTGAATAGCGATATCACGTTGTGGTTTTCCAGAATTATCCATTTCCGGTCCGTAACATGTTTGACATACAGCAGGAAAGCTTTCCTATGGATTAACTCGTCTGGAGTTACCTTGTCTATCTTTTATCTTTTCTGTGTTTTTTTTTTCAATGAATAAGTTTCTCTGAGAGATACTCAAGTTCACAAATGCGCCGGGCCATCTCAACTAACTTTTAAATCAGTCCTCTTTTTTTGTTGTGGTCGGTGGTTGGAGTTTTCAATGCATGTACATTTTTATAAATAAAAGAATTTTCAAATTCAGTCACCTATTACAAACAAACATACAAAAAAAATCATTTATCTGTAGTTTAAATTCAGATATTTTTTTTTATTTCAGTTATTTTTACTGTGCTATGAAGCATATATATAATTTGTATACGTATTTATTGTGAGATTTTCACTGAACAGTTTATAAAACCCAGCACGTGGTTCACTATAATATAACTTTTTCAGGTGTGTCTGAAATATATTGTACATTGAAAATGTCTCTCAAAAGCAAGTATTTGCAAAAAAAGACTAATCATCATCACACTAAGACATGTTATAAGCTACAAACTAACTCAAAGTTTATTTTATTTTAACTCACCTCCACATACATATATTCAGCAGCAATATTTTTACAGTAGACATTCTTCAAAAACTCAACTGCTTCTTCAATACTACCTTCATCTTTATGAGAATTGATTATACCTCCAAATCGAATATTGTCGTTGTTAGAAAACCCGTACCTTTCGATTTCTAATTCAGGAACAACGCTAAAATAAGTTTCGTAAAATTTTAGTTTCAAGCTAACATAATTTATTCAACGCGTAAAAAAAGTGAAAATAAAGTTTTAGTGATTATATACTGAAACCCCTGCAGTACATCATACGAGTAGTCTAGTTTACAAGTTGATAACGGTGAAAAAAAGAAATAATGGTCGGATGATTACAAGCGATGGTTCATTCTATCCGAAAGATATTTAGAAAAATGTGTTGAAACCGTTTTTAGCACATAAAAAATTGCAAAATTTATAAAGAAATGAGATTCAAAAAAAAGATGTTTAAATATTTGCAAATATTTCTAAAACTGAAAAAAATAATGGATTCAAAATAAGGGTCCCTGAAGAGAAACAAATTTCCAAAAAAAATCCCGCCTCCTGATTATTTATAAATTTAATTTAACGCTGAAAATAGGCCTCTGCGGTTGAATTTGGGGATGTCGACGCGGCATCTGAAGCGAGTCCGTTACGAAAAATAATTTTTATCAACTATTAAATATTGACTTTTAAATATATAAAAATTGGGGTATATTCTGAATACTATAAAAAATTGATTCTCGTTGTAAAAAATTTAAAAGTAAATTATTGAAAAAACTAGGTAATTATTAATCAACAATATTTTACTTGATTTACGTCGTCATTGAAGTCCACAAAAATGTTCAACTGATTTTCCAAAAATTATTCGCTTCGGGGAGCATGTTATATATCACGTTATTATATTTCAATTAATATTAATATTTTGTTTATAATATATGTTTTATAGTAACAAAAAATGAATAATCGAGGTATTGTTATACATTTTTTTATATATCCATTATCATATTCTCGTTTTAGTATTGAATGAAGGCATCCGGTAAGTTGAATGAAAAATATTTAGCGCCATCTGTTTATACATTTTTTATAAACAAATAGACTGTAAGTATTTAAATTTTTTTTTTATAATTTCATTGTCTTCATAATATAATGATTTAGAAAAATCCTCCACAACAATTTTCAATTGTTCATATTTTTTTTTAATATTTCAAATATTCAAATAATTAGTAGAGAAATGTTTTCTAATTTAAAAATCATAATTGACATTCCTCTACAAGTTGAAGAAAATATTGTTAATAATTTTATTGTTTAAGAACTGAACAATTCGTTATAAATAAATTCCTAACGGCGACATACATTTTTTTCATAAACTGTTTGAAATGCAATCATGCATTTCAATCTTTCGAAAACACTTTTCTTCATTTTCAATTGTACTTTTGAAAATTATGTGTCACGAAGTTTCATGAACTACCCGATTTGTAAAATAAAAAATTAATATAACTTTGAAACTATTGAAGAGAAATGAAAATAAACTTCAAAAATATTTTTATAGAGAACCAATAAATCTTTCGAATGAGTTTGTCAGCAAATTTGTAACAATAATTATTTGCATTTGTTATAAAAATAACAGCCATTTTCTACTTTTCTGCTTTTAGCATGATAAATAACACAAATATATGATAATATACCTTCAAGGAAATGTCGTCTATTGATTCAATTCGCAACCGATGCAATTGCTTATTTGAAAATAATTTTTCTAAAAATTGTTGATTGATTGCCATGTCTGAAATAACAGCATTGTCATAATATGCGCCTTAAGAATTTTTCTGTAGTGCTTGTGTTTTGTCTTTAGAAAAATAAGTCTTATATTGATAAATTGATGGATGTAGCCGAAGAAAAGAGAAATGAAACTTTCCATGTTTTTTACCACTTTTATTTGTAACTAACGTTACATTTTCAAACTTATACAATATAAATTTATTGTATAAGTTTGAAAATGTCCGTATAAGACGAAACTGCAGTAACGTTAGTTACAAATAAAAGTGGTGAAAAACATAGAAAGTGTCATTTCTCTTTTCTTCATTAGTCTTATATTGCTGGAAGCTACATGAATATATACATTTTATTTTTCATTCTTCAATTATAAAAATTTGTTAAAACAAATGCATTGTTTATTGTGGAAATCTAAATATTAATTTAAATAATGATTTTCAAGGAAACAAAAATTTAAAATATAAACTCACATGTTCCAGATATACTTTGAGTGTATCTGGGACATGTTATGGATTTCATACAGTTCAACAAATTACTCAATGCTGTTAGTAGTTTTCAAGTAGTTTTCAAAAACAACTAATCAGTAACATTGAAAAAAGCAAAATATAGTCTGTTTGAATGCAATTTAATTATACTCATTCTACTTTTTTTTCAATATTTTTTTGTTGAATCGTCTAAACTGGGCTTTGAGTAAGTCACGAGTTTTACCCATATTTTCACTAGTCAATCGAAATTATAAATATTGGGAATTTTCGGGAAGTGGTATTTTTAACGAAGTTTTCTGCTCTTCAAGGATTGAAGAAAGTGTGGGTTTCTGCAATAAAATTTTAGATAATCGCGAAAAAAAACCTTTTTTTTGTTCTACTGAATTTAAGACAGATTTCAAACCATTTGTTTGCACAACTCCAATTGTGAAATTCGAATCACACGTCAATCATAATTTTCTGTGAAGGCAAACTCAAGTTTTGCAAAACGGCAGTTGTGAACCGAAATATCAGTGACTTCGTGTATAATGATTGCGATTGATTGCGACTGATTCTTAAAACAGACAAAAAAAAACAAAATCATTCAGGTGGAATATTTGACATAGTTCACAAATTTTATGAATTAATGAAAAATGTATTGTTTCTCATACCTGTTGATTTTAGCTAAAGACACCGGATTGATATTAGAACACTTGTGTCCATGTTGTCTGTAGGCTAACGCTAGCCTGTAGAAATTGCTCTCCTTATATCTAGTTTCAATCACCTCTTTCGGAACTGTAAAAATAATAATTGCTGTAAAACTCAGTACTAGTTCTATTAATTCTACTCCTAATTCATTCGGGTATTTATTGGAAATGCCAATTTTTCGGATTACTCAAGGGAATCGACTCGCCAAGCCATCTAGGAAAAAGTGTCGTCCATATAACATAGCAGAATCATTCAAACTTCAACTAGAAAAATTCAGCCCAGAAAAATATTTGGTAGAAGTTGGGTTTGAACCAGCGACCTGTCAATCGTAAGTTAAGCACAGTACCAGTTGCACAAATTCACCCGTGAAATACAATTTATTCATTTTTCATCATATACACATTGCTTTCATTTACAGTTCTCATAACTCTTTCATTTCAAACGTTACGAAAATTGTTATATCCTTTTACAATTGGAATAGAATTAGATTCTTCTATTATCATTTCTATTTCGTTTATTGGATCCTAATGAGCGTAAACAGTGGCGGTGTCAGGGGTGGCAATCCTGTAGTCCCTTTTGCCGGCCACCGCTACGTTGCAACCTCTGTTTATTGTGTCAATGTCAGTAGTTGGTTCAAGCCGATATCGTTACCGCCCCCCATCACTTTCAACATCGAAACGAGCTCGACTTACGTCACATGACATAGCCAAGGTGACTTCGACCTTGAACAACCTTCAACTTCTTGGACGAGGCAGCTTCTAAACTTGCTGCTTCGACTTTGAACTACCTTCAGCAACATCGCATTGTGACGTAGACAAGGTGACTTTGGAGTAGTGTTTTGGGTTGGACCTTGGACGACCTTGATTCACATTCCTTTTCACTGGTTATCTTGCGGTTTCAAAGATTCAACTTTAGACGACCTCCAACTGAGTGGACGAGGTGGCTTCTAAACTTTTTGCTTTGACTTCCAACGATCTCAAGTAACATCACATTGCGATTTTGAGTGGTGTATATATTATTTATTTACCATGAACGCCCAGACTATGATCTACTGCTTCCGGCTGAAGAGTGGCCGGAAGCAGTAGATAAGCATAATACCATGAAATATCATGGGGTTACAATTCGCAGGAGAAAGTAGAGGATGTGGATGTAATAGCCTTGGCAATATTGGAAATATATTGCATATATTGTAAATGAAAAAATTATCATATAATCATATTTGCTTATATCTACTAGTTTGGTGATTAAAAAGAATAAGAAAAATTATTGAGTGTTTTGAATTTCACTAGTTCGGACTTCCATTGTCTACTATATAAAATGATTTGAAATCCCTGAAACAAGTAAAAAAGAATAGTTGAAAATAACAATTATATTAAGCAACAATAAACCTGAAATGAAATGATAGTGAAATAACCTACAAGTAAAAATATAATAATTGAATAAATAAAAATTAAAGGAATGCAAAAAGAAAATAATAAGAAATAAAAAAGTGTAGAGATTCCAAGTCACGTTAGTAGTGAACTAACGTGACTTGGAATTCATTTCAGGTTTATTGTTGCTTAATATAATTGTTATTTTCAACTATTCTTTTTTAATTATTCTTTTTTACTTGTTTCAGGGATTTCAAATCATTTTATATAGTAGACAATGGAAGTCCGAACTAGTGAAATTCATCACGAAACATTGTCAATCACCTTCAAACAAATATTGAGTGTTTTATTCATCAATATCGAATGTTTTATGATGATTTACATGTCAATATTATCATAATCCAGAGTGAACAGAGCCATTTAGGTCATTATAACACAACACAGCATCGTAAAGGATATTCGCATATACTTTGGTGAATGCCAGAAACTTGACTTCAAGTGTTTCAAATTATATTGCAATATCGACAGTGGATATCTTCATAGCATCCGGTTGGTGAAAGCAGTCAATAATGATAGTGACTTATTGCGAAAGCTGTCAATTTAATATCATTGGTTCACTCATAGCTCTACCGTAGTAGCTGCGTTGAAAATGTTCATTTGGGAATGAGTCTAACTTCTTGTCGAAATCCAGATTCCAATGTTCACATTGGTATACTTCAGAGTTCAACGATGGCCGAATATTATTAATTCTGGCATGTATGAATTTTGTCACATCATTTGTCATACTCTTGGATTGGTCGGTGTTTTGGAAGCCGACGATGTCTTTACGTCCCATATATCTGATGCTGTATCACCTTAACTTCAGCATTATTACTACTTTCATTGATGTGGTTTGGGAGTTTTAGTTTCTGGTGATCTTTCGGTGGTGATTCTCCATTCTATTATAAGTGATAACCAATTCTGCATCTACTTCCCTAATGGATGAATTTGTGAATGTGCTATGATCAAAATGAGCTTTTGCTTTAAATTCAATATTTCTTTTTTGTAATCTTCAGCAAAACTTCAGAACTAATTGACCGCTTTATACATGACTGAGCTCTCGTATCCTTCACTCCTACAAATGAAGCGAGGAGTGAGAGAAGTGTGGGATGCTACCACTACAACAATCGAATCAAATAAAAACCTTGCGAGTACATCAAAATGAATCACAAAAATATATCTTATGCCCATAAGATGAAATTTGTGATGAAACTAATCTCAATAGATCCTTACCAGATTCATCAGTGATGTTCAATAAATTCATACCGCGACTGAGTTGCCGTCTTGGGTAATAAGGGAGACCAACAATTTCATATTTTGGTTTGTTTTTTTCAAAAGTAAAAAAATACAATTCCTTTAATATATAAATTTCCGAAAAAATAAAAAATTCATCGACTTCATTCGTGGATAGGGAGTTTTTCCTTCGACTGTATTTATTTTGATATACAAAACAAGACACATTTGCCAAAATATTTTGTCGGGCAGAAAATCAACCCTCACTCTGAATATAATAGTTTTCAAAAAAAATCTATGAATCTTTGAATCTTTCGTGAATGAGGATTTCTTTTTTTGAATGTATTCCTTTTAAAAAACTGAGAGAAAATCAATCCATTCCCCGTAAATTCTAATTTTCAAAGCAAAATCCATGAGTCATTCAAATAATTTGCCTATGGGATTTTTTTAAATGTGTTCATTCCAATAACAAAACAAGATCCATATGTCGAACTATTTTGTTTGGCAGAGAATCAACCGCCACTCCGTAAATTCTAATTTTCAAAGCATATTCCATAGTTCGTCAAATATTTTTTAAATGCAGGTTTTTTCTTTGGATGCATTTATTCCAACATACATAACAAGATCCATGTCGAAATATTTTGTCGAGCAGAAAATCAACCCCAACCCTGAATATTTTTAAAGAAAAATTCATAATTCCTTCAAATCCTTTGAAGATGGGGATTTTTTCTACGGATGTGTTTATTTTAGCGTGCCGGAAATACTTGCAATGAATACTAGTAGTAATGATGTTGCCAAATACAAAGACATTTTCTCAATTGAAGATACGAAAAGCAGTGGATAATAGATGAATTACTGTTTATCATCTTTGGCAAAATCACATCTTGATGAATCTCATATTTTTTCAACTACAAATCAAGTTTACGATATAATGAATTGCGGTAATTATCTAGAATCGATTTAATTAGCGAGCTACCTGTAATTACCGATAAATAAAAAATTATGCTATCATTATCAGAACAATTTAAAATTGCCATCATTGGACCTTAGCAGTGGACAATATGCAGAAAAACCAATATATATGCATCAATCGAAGATACAGTAATATCTCAAAAGACGCTGAAAATAATGAAGACAAATTTCAGCTATTTTTACAAAAATAAATCACTAAGAAAAATAAATATCTAAGAGAGCATCCCTCACATTATACTTTTTTTTCACATATACTTTTTCATGCAAATTTTCAAAAATGTCTCGTTGATGAGGTCATCTAAATGGAATTGTCGGGAACGAATTTTGCCTTATATCTAGATTTGCCATTACTGAATCTTTGAGCAATAGTTATAAAACATAGAAAATTCAATAATTCATGATGTAAACTGAATAACTTCAATACGATCACTGTTCAATAAATTTTATAACAATGATTAACAACTGACTTGTTATATATTGAAATTATATAATCATAAAGTATTCGATATTTTAGCTGAAAATTAGCCAAAAATTATTTCCTAAAAATAAATATTCAAATTCAAAGTGGTTCTGCTAGCTCAACAGGGATCATATAATTAATTTTATTTATTCACCAACTGAAGTTGAGTTTTTGATATTCTAATTTTGTTAATTAGAATTCGGACTGACTTACCTACTTACTTAGAATGTAAATATTTCTTATTTCATTTATTTATTTTTTATTCTTACATACTCCAGATTTCATTTATCGATTTCATTTGCGTGATAATATTCTTTAATTTTATTCATTTACCAACTACTTAAAGTTTAGTTTTTAATTATTTTTTGTTTTTCAGAATTCAGATTGATTTACCTATTGAGTAGAATATAACTGTTTATTACTGAAATTCATTTTTATATTTTATTCTTGCACTTGAGATAAAGTTTTTGTAATTCATTTTTCAAATTTTATTTGTGTAATATTACGAGTATTTATCAATTTTATTTATCTATCAACTGAAGTTGAGTTTTTGATATTTGTCATTGGATTGTTTTATTGTGGATCGGGCTCATTGGGGACACCACACATAAAAACGTATCTGTCACTGAAGAAAAGAGATAAAGTCTGATTTGTATCCTAAGAAAATATCACAAAATTGAAATTTAATTTATATATGGGTACGCTGTTTTCAGTACGCTGAAATTAACACATTCATAAAAAAATTCAACCACGAAAGATTTGAAAGAATTATGGACTGTCATTTGAAAATTATTTTATACGGGGAGGGGGATAATTTTTTTCAGACAAAATATTTTACATATATAGATTTTGCTCAGTGAGCTAAACTAAATACATTCATAGAAAAAATCCTCATCCGCGAAAGATTTCAAAGACAAAGACAAATGGGTCTTGTTCTGTACGCCAAAATAAACACATTTGAAGAAAACAACCCATCCACAAAAGATTTATAGCTGTTGTTTTGTACGGTGAAATGGATACACTGGAATAGAAAATCCCCATTCACGAAATATTTGATAGTTACGTGTTTTCTTTGAAAATTTGAATTTGCGGTATTTTTTATTCCTTTATTCTATTGTTATGTAACTTATATTAAATATTATGAAAGGAAACTAATTTAAAAAAATATTCCAACTGTGAAAGTCGAAAAAAAAATTAAAACTTCACAATTGATAACATTGAACTGTTGAACGATAGTGATAGGTCATCAATTGGTTTCATGTGAGAAATTTCCGAATTGGGACTTATAGTAAGTAAGCTGTGCTATCACTAACATTTGTATAGGAATCGCACGTTGAAAGGTAAGACATGGCTAATTCTTATCTTGCACAAGTTTTGACTTCTGTGGATTGTCACTCGTAAGATGACGACAGCTGCTTTATGGGAAAATACTTTTCGAATAGAATTTTTATTTTCTCTCTTTGATGTGCCAAATGGAAGCTAAAATTACCCAATTTGGGTTTTGATTAACATTTGTATAGGAATCGCACGTTGAAAGGTGAGACCTTGCTAATTCTTATCTGTGGATTGTCATTCGTAAAAGGACGAAAGCTGCTTAATGGGAAAATACTTTTTGGATACAATTTTCATCAGTTCTCTTTGATGTATCGAATGCAAGCTATCATTCAAACAAGAGCTTTCGCTGATTAAAAGAAAACGTTAACTCTTTTATTTTCGTATAAATTTGTAGAAGAAAAGGATATATAAAAGTATGTGTTCTATCGGTCAGGTTTTGGATGATGCATGAGTAATACTTATCTGTCTGTGTTGAAATAGTGGTCCAAGGAACTTTCTTACTCACCCTTGTAAACAGTTTTATTCTTTCGCTTGAATCCGAACACATTTTCACTATGATAATTTCGATGCACATTGAACTCAACTAGTTTTAAATACCTAAAACTTTTTCCGAGCACACTTAAATACATCATCTGGTTATTGTGCAAGAATCAAAATCGGAGTGGCATTATTATTAGTAGTTGTTTTTAACTGCTGATAATACTTCGTCATGACCCCAGATTCGTATAACTGAAACACAAATCGGGTAACGACGAAACCTCGACCAATAACAAAAGTATTTGAATTTCATCTTCTTATACTTCAACATTCCTTATCTCACAGATAGCCACTTCTCGGTTACTTGTGAATGAATGCAGTCCCGCTTTGAATGAATTTGGAGGTGCATTACGCGTGCCAGTGGCGTAACACACAAAAAACAGATTTTTAATAAATTCCGAAACGAGCGATGAAGTTTTTGAAAATCTAAATTTATAAAAAAAAAAAATGGTAAATTTTCGTTATGTGGACACCCGGCGATTTTGAAAAAATTTTTGACTGTACTTACGTATTTTGATGCGTAGATTACGAATCCGAAAGAAAAAAGCGGCGCTCTCCCTTATTTAAAAAGTTACGGCCCTTCAAAGTTCAGAAAAGGGCAACTTTTCAGCCTTCTTTTTCACTAAATAAACTATTTAAAAACACAAGCATTTATTCACTAAGTCACCTTTACACCTTATTCCTCCTTCTTTAACACTTTTCACTTCAATCTTCACTTCACTTCAAAAAATCTTTGAATTTTCTGAGTTATAACAATGTCTATGCAGAAGGAGAATTGTTTTTTGATTGGAGAACCTTTGAGTTCGATAGAAATAACGAATGTTTGCTGTGTTTTCGAACAATCTATTCCAAGAAATTAATATACGAAACATCGGTTGGTCGGTAGCCAGGCGGTTCGACGTGGTTGCTTTGTTCACTCACTCGAATTGACTGCCGTATTGGTCAGTGGTTCAAGTCCCAGTCTGAACGATCGATTTTCACTTGCTATCGTCCAACCCGTGTTAGGAATCACATGTTTAAAGATAAGACCTCGTTTCTCCTGTTAATTCATGGCTCACGTTAACAAATAAACTCATTTCAGTAGGTATTCTCATCATTTGTTTCTCTACTACCTATTTTTATTTGCCAGAAAACAGAAACAAACTAAAATTGAATTATGTGGCGTGGTTTTCTTAATTATTTTTTTCCAAACTACGCCACATAATTCAATTTTAGTTTCATTTGATATAAAGAGTATGTTCTCCAATATACCGTACAACGGTATATGCAAGATCAAGTCAAAGTAGAAAGTAGAAATTTCGACAGCTTTCGATGTATACCTAAATTAGAATGACTTAAAAGCCAATAACAAATTTTATAAACAGAATTCGGGTTTATCAATGGTCCCACCCCTTGGTCCATTTTTAGCAGACATATGATATGACCAGCTTGGAGTCCACTGTAGTAAATTCCGACCTGGGTAAAGAACACATTCATTTTTGGTACAGATATATTGACGATAGTCTCGCCTATTTCAGAGGTCCTACACGACAGCTGAACCAATTATGACATTTATGAATAATTTTAATAGTTACATACATTTCACACTCAAAACAGAGATAGAGAAACAGATTAATTTCTTAGACCTGACCATCACACAGAGTCATAATGTTCAATGTATTTAGAAAACCGAGATATATACAGAATTACAAAGGTGTAAGTGATTCCATCCCGACAGTCATAAATTAGCAGCTTACAATTCAATGTTAAACAGAGCATTTCAAACATATCTTTAGGCTTATTAACATTATGAATCAATTGTTAATCTACAAGTGAGATTAATCAAATCAAATATCTAATCAAATCAATAGAAACTATTTATCCATTTTAGTAAGCAATAGTAATATGATAAATAATAATAAGAAGTATTTCAAACTGTGATTATTTAATATAATAGTATGTGTATAAACCATAGACTGAAAAGTTAAATTTTGATAATAAAAAACTCCACTTTCCACTATTTGTTAACATTAAAAATGTCCTATGTCAAACTCCAGATTATTCCTCTGGAGCTCATTGAAAGATATTTGTGCAATCTAGTTAATCATCGACATAGTATTTCCTCGTTTTATCATTCAAAGTTTTTTCTTTTTGGGTAAGTTCTTTAACAATCAGTTTTTTTGTGAATTTATTTTTTTTGGGTTATTCAAGTTTCAGATTTTATGTAAATTATGCACAAGCTGATTACATATCATTACATGCATCACATACATTTTCTAGAGCTTATTGCATTTACATCTCTCTTAAAATTTTGGTTTGAAGGAATTATTTTCACTTGGAAGAACTCTCACGAACGCCACTGGCGAAAGCAATCTTCCTTTATTTATTTTATCAATACGTCCGGCTGTAGATCAAGACCAGCAAGCATATTTCCTTTGTGACACATTCCACAAGATGGAGTTTGTCTGATTTCTTTAGGTTCATTACTTCAAAATGAGATAGATACCCAGCAGCAGGAATTTTCATTACGGGCCTTCCATCGGATAACTTCCTAGCATATATTTTTTCATATAACTTTCGACTTTCCATTTCTTGAAAATTTGTATATTTCTACATTTTTCTTTCGATATTATCGAGTCTTCGAAATGCTGCGGCAAATCAGTATTGTAGTCTTCTAGAGAAGTTCAATTTCGAAATTGTCCCCTGTTCTTGGGAAAGAAAGTTTTTGGCTTTCTACTACTCCATCTGATACAAAAAAAAAGAGATGAGAGAATCTTCCAAAGAAAGGAAGGAAGTAATCAATTTGAAAATAAGTAACTCTATCATGCAAAGAAGTAACTTTCAGACACAAACTGAAAGAAAGTCCTCCTAAAAATATAACCCCTTCAATCCCCTGTACTGTTTGCAGTATTTTGCATGAATTCCAAGCCTCCATTATCTTGGAATTCATGAGTTGTAATCAAAATACATCATTGTGTATGGCTGTTTCACTAACTAATGTGGTTCGTCGTCAATTCTCAGACAATGGCAAATATGAAAATAGTATATTTCGATTTTATTCTTTCCATTCAGTTATTTTTTCCGTTTGAAATCCAGCCAAAATATGTTTTTGGGTTAATCGGAAAATTGTATGGCCTTTGAATACCTTTTCTGCACACGTTAATTTGAATATAGTTCAGGTTCGAAAGAATCGTTGGAAATCGCTTGATTTTATTGAATGAAATTCCATCTGAATGATGATATTAACTATTCCACTCTTTTTGAAAAGGTAATGATGAGTTTTCTTCAGATCTAATATATAGTTCAGGGAACATCTTGGAATTTTGATGAATTTTAGATTTTTCAAAGTTCAAATAACAAAAATGTTCATGATAGAAAATAAAATCATTTGTCCATCAGTTGCAGAGTACAAGTATTTTAATCAGTGTCGAGTTTGTCGATAATCGTTTTACCTATCAATATAATAGTAATAGTAAAAATGTATTCTACTGTGGTAGATGATTCACGATGATGAGTCTTCCACATAATGCAATGGTCTCTATAACCTTGTGTTTACCATGCAATTTCACATTGATCATAGAAAAAAGGAATATTGTCTGCTCCTTGACCCACATTGAGTTGACGATGTGGACTTCGCATTAGGTGAGGGAATATGAAGGAACATGTGATGGGACCGCAAAAAATTATTGATTGCACAATTGCACATGTACAGCTTCCGGACTGAGTGATGGCCGGTGAGAAGCCCCTACCTCAAGATGTGCAGTAGATTTGTGAACATCTGTTATCAGTCTGTTAGATAATTCAAGCCGTAAACATCCAGATTCAGGGCCGTATTCAGTTAGTGATGGAATTAGTATAAGTAAATTGCATAAACACCGACCCAAACTTTACGCAGATACGATTTCTCCCACCGGCGATGACTCAGTCTGATAGCTATATACAGGGTGTAACTGAATAAGTGTAAAACATTTGAGGAGGTGATTCCTCATCGAAAAAAAGATAGGAACTTTCATATATAGAAACTTCATTGGAACATCCCTTGTTAAGATACAGCCCCTTAAAGGGGGGTACATAAAATTTTTATAACAATTTTTTTCACAAGCACTGAAAAAGTTACAATATTGAAATTAACCTGACGTTCTGTACTACCAAAAAAACACTCAGCCAGTAATTTATTTGGTTTACCCCATGGTTGTAAGGGGTGGAAAACGCAACCCCTGAAATTTATTTTCAATGTAACTTTTTGTCTTATTATTTTTTCACCATTTGAAAATCTATTTCCGATAGCCTGTTTCATTCTTGACAAAAAATGTCTCTTGGGTTTTTTGCCCAAAATGAACAAGTCCGCAGCAAAAAATTATTTTACGAACAACTACAGAGATACATCGTCTTAAATGCGAACTGGATTTATTATTATTTTGTAGTTAGTACCTGCATTAAACGATTAAAGGGTAATAAACAAAACTAATTTATTAATAACAAAACACACAACATGTAGAAATCATAGTAAATGTTCAATATATCTACCTTCAGACATTACGCATGCGTCTAGACGTCGACGCATTGAGCCAATATTCCTGGAGTCTCTCTGATTACCCTGCACGCATCGATGATGCGGTTTCTTAAGTCTTCTACATCGCGAACAGGAGTACGATAAACCAAATGCTGTAAATGACCCCAAATAGAGAAATCGAGAGGATTGAGATCCGGAGATCGAGCGGGCCAGTTCTGTGGTCCTCCTCAACCTATCCACTGATTTGCATATGTTTCAGTTAAATGCTGACGTGCTACTTGACTAAAATGGGCGGGAGCCCCATCATGCATAAAAAACATGTCCCTTTTGATGCCCAAAGGAACTTCCTCCAGCAGTACTGGATGCACTTCTCTTAAAAATTGAATGTATGCCTCACCATTTAATCGAGGAGGTAGAAAAAGTTAAATTGGAAATAAATTTTAGGGGTTGCGTTTTCCACCCCTTACAACCATGGGGTGAACCAAATAAATTTCTGGCTGAGTGTCTTTTTGGTAGTACAAAACGTCAGATCAATTTCAATATTGTAAATTTTTTAGTGCTTGTGAAACAAATTGTTATACAAATTTTATGTACCCTCTTTAAGGGGCTTTATCTTAACAAGGGATGCTCCAATGAAATTTCTTCATATGAAAGAGCCTATCTGACAAAAAGGCATGAAATCAAATTATGGAAAAAATTAACAGCATCAACGTGTAAAGTACAAAATTCCCTATCGATCAGTATATATCACGACACAGTAGAACCAATATTTATTTATTGAGATATGGAGCTACTGAAACACATTAAAACGGAAAGAAACTAATAGAATATACATAAGTGAACACTGAAATTCAAATAAAAATAAAATATCTTAATATTCCTCCCAGGATTTTTTCACATTCTGTCCCAAGTGTAAATAAGTCATCATTCTGTTTTCGAACTACAAATTTTACAAAAATAAAGTCGGTATAGGCAAACTCCGATCAATATTTTGGAGTTCGTTGTCAATCTTTCTTAAATCTGTACGTGGTTCCATATTTTCCTCGTCTCCATCCGATCGTGCATTTGATTCTTGTAAAGCGCTAAAATGATCTGAGCAGCCCAGATCACTATTGTGTTCTTCTAGCATTTCTATTTCTGATTCGCTATTGCTGATTCTTTTTACTCTCTTTATTTTTGATTTGCTCGATGAAGGTATAGGCTGAGGAACTTCTGATTCATTCTCTTCTGGTATTCCTGTTAAAATTTTCGTAGTCGTTGGTCGTTTTTCCTTCTGGTGCCTTTGGAAAGGTCGGTGTTACGGATGCAGGCTGAATCAGAATACGGCTGAGAATATTGATTATGTTGCCGTTATCAATATATTCTTCATATTCATAGGGATTTGTTCTGTCAGACACTAAAGACGTTGAAAAGTTTTATTCGGAAAAGATATTACTGCGGAATGGGAAGATGACGCATTTGGTAAATCTACTCGTTAGGTACTTTTTTCCGAGAGGAACTTTACATGAATGATTTGTTAGCTTGTGTAGCAAAATTGTATATGAAAATTAATTTTCTGAGATTTGAAACAAGCCAACTATCTTGTTCTGACTTGAATCTGAAAACGATGGCTCGTGTGCGGTCAAAATGTCATTAAAGTTATTACGATTACTTCTGCAAACTTGATAGTTCTGATGTTATTGCGTGATTTGTAATTATGAGGAAGCGGTAGAACTCCTAATTTTTTGCGAAAATCTAACAAAGTAAGCAGTGTTTTAATAACTGTTAAAAAAATGGTTGCATCATACATCCACTTTGATGTGTTTAACCTAAACTTTCAGTTGGTGCTCTATTGAGCATGTAATCTTTGCAGTGAACTTCGGAAAATATGAAAACAGATGGGACTGTATTACCAATCGCGTGAAATTCAGCATCGTTACTAATATTCCTCTTTCGCCCGATGTTACTTGCTCCAGTTGTTCAGCCCTACATGGTGCAATGATTTTTCGTCACAGTTATAGATATTGCTAGGTGCAAACTTGTACCCGGACAAACATGTTCTCTAAATTTTTGGAAAACTGACCAAACTTATGAGCATTAAATGAGGTAGCTTTTGACAAACTGCAGTTTTCTGACTTGCGAAGAGAGGCGTCTCGATGTCGTTTCAAAACATTTTGTAGCCATTTTTCATCAGCTTTTACAGTAAGCGTCAATTTTTTGGAATAACTAAATTTAATTCCTTTGCAAACTGATTGGCCAACATTCGCGGTGAACAGTTTTTAAGTAACACATGCGCGATGCAGTCTTGAAATAATCACAGAAGATATCTTTTGTTGTTTGAAAATATTTTTCTATTTCCTTTGTTAGACGAGTATTTATATGCATCAATAGTTGTATTTGAAGCAGTTTTCATCGCTCTGTGCAGTGCACTTTTAGAAATGCCCGTACATTGAGCTACTTCTCTTGTTGCTGTTTTATTCAAAATGAATTTTCGCGCAGCAACCTTTATTTCACCTGCAGATATCCATACTCTCTTTTTTGATCCTATTCTTTATACCTTGTCTGCGAATGAACAGTATTTATTTATCATTTCAGTTTTGTAATAATACAGAAAACAAATATGCCTTATAATCCTTCCAGAATTTATTACACGGCGTTAAAGTTTTCTTTGAACAAACCAAAATCTGTCGGCCATAAGTAAATGGCCTCTAGACACCTACAATTGATCTTTTTGTTACAGTCTTCTTTGTCTTCCATTCTATAGTGGCAAGTACTATATTTGATACTCTTGTAGCTTTGTTTTATGAACTAACTCAATCGTATTTGTATTTTGAACAATTTTGTCTCACTTCATTAAAAGTTTTTATTTTCATTACAAACTCTGACAATTTATCTTTATCATTTTTTTGAATATACCTACTCATTTGAATCAAACTAAATCGAACATTTATACGAAGGGTACAAAAAACGGAAACAAAAATAACAAAAAATAATGTATACAGACTCTGGACTGAAAAGTTCTATGATGGGGTAGATTTGAAAGCGATAGTAGTTATTTTGATCGAAGTCAAATAAATTTCGAAATCTAATCTGTCGGATGTTTGTTTAACGGGAGATGAAAATATACTACCGATTAAGAAAACGACTATCGGTAGGTAAATACCTATTCAATATTTTTATAAAATATCAATGCTGATATCACGACATGTTTCGCTAACACAGTAGCTTTTTCGTAGTGAATTATGTACTTAATTCACTTACGATCAAGTCGTAAGGTGTAGTTTATGAAGTTACTACGGATCTTCATCAAGTAACGGCCGAATCAATCAGAAAAAAAATGCACATTTGTCTTTTTGGAAACGTTTAAATCGATTCCATAAGTGGTTCAAACAGGAGGTTTAAAAAAGTTCAAGTGACGATCATTTAATATACAGTTTATGCTTCTGGTCCACGTTAGATGTCCATGTGGGTTACTTATGAATATCTGTGGGATATCCATTGGACGTCCAGTGGATATCCCTAAAGTTCATTTCAGATATCTACTTGAGATCCTATGAGTCCATGTATTTATTGGGTCCTCTTTGTATGATTTCATGATTCAATTCAGCTCTTTAAAAAAATCTCCCTTGAAGAAGTGATGTCGTGGAAGCGAATAAATGGCGGAACAAGTTTTTGTTTGGAAATCACTTGAATGGAAGTTGTCGATACTTGATGAAAATAGACATCAAAACTTGCTAATACAATTTACTATATTTTCATTACATTAGTTTAAGACGCTCCTTTAAGAGTATCTTGTGGAATCTAGCACACACTACGGCTTGTACAAATCGAATTGCTTCTTTCATGAATTTTTTTTAGATTTCCTCAGGTCTTGAGAATCTTGTTTATAGTCAATCGAGGATCTTTAGTGTTCATCCCACACACCTGAATTCATTGCACTTTTGAAGTATATTTTAGTTTGTTGTCTCATCCGCACCAGATCTTTCATCAAGGAATATTTCTGTTCAATCTCTGGATAACGAAGTTAATTAACTGTCTATAATCGCTATTCTACTCGTACACATCCTTCTACAGTCAAGAATTCTTTATTTCAAAACCCATCTGAGCCAGTTTTAAGTCCACCTTTCAAGCTTCCCACTTTGTTTTTGATATGATCGAGGTATGAGCCCCTTCTACCGATGACCCGAACAACTTTCTTAAACAAAGGGGATCTCCGGATTATTTAATCAATACCGCATTGCGCAGTCATTCGAGAACTGTTTGATCAAACGTGGCTCTCAAAGAAAATATAGGTAAAATGGAAATGGGCGAAGAAAATAAATTATTAAATAATTGTAAAAAAATATAATAGTGCAATAAGACAATAAGACATCACTAATAAGGACCTTGAAAGTCTTAAATAATAAAATGACGTTGAATTCAAACTTCTGGGAAGGCACTACCAATCATATTTTTCCCTCTATATCTATAAGTGTAAGTCCTCACAACAAACCGGTTTCCGTTCATTTTCAGAGGACATATCCTATCAGCTCTCAAGACGAAACAAGTCGAATAAATGGCCATTTCTAATTCTGGACTAGTACCCACGAACATCGATCCAACAGGTTTATCGATGTTATGAAAATTGAAGTGATACTTTACTATGGCACCTTTCTGCAATTAGGAAAATTTATATCACGAAAACATTATTCATGTACTTACGTTTCCCAAATCGAGTTTCTTCATATATCCTAAATAATTAGCATTGTTTTTCCTTTCTTCTTCATGGAAATAAATCCAGTTGTGTAACCCTGACACTTGACTGTTCTTAATTTCCGCTAGAAAGACGTGCTCAAAACCACTGGAGCCGATTCTACCTCCACCCCTTGAATACATGTTGAACCAAATCAAGCGCAACAGGTCCTTGAATTCTTTAGGGTCTCTGCCTAGTTTTCCTTGAAATAATAAATTATACGATTTGAGATTCCATGCAGAGAAAACAGACCAGTGTCGTTATCCACGTAACTGAGTATTTTTTTATGAAAAAAGACTAGACATTATAATATAAATAATATATTATTGAATCGGTAGATGGGTTTTTATTAGCAAGGAGTTTATTTCATACATCTTGAGAGCCTTCACTACTTTCGGTATGAAATCGTTTTCAATAACTTTTACAAACATGATAATCATTCGGGTTGAAAATTATCGATTCTGAAAGAGTGTTCTTTTGGAATTGCAATAATTTCGAAACAAATTATTTTGAGGGTGTGTATCATAAGTTTATATTAGTCAGTTTTATTTAACAAGCAATATTACATCTTTGGATCCTGAATCTAGTGAAGAAATATATTGAAATTTCATTAGGCAGTGAAACTCAAAAATATTCCAGAAATATATTGCTTGCTGATGATCATTTCATATGAAATGAAATATTTCAGAGTAATAATTCGAAGTGGAATAAAAATCTATATCAGAAATGAAAAACTCCATCATGTCATGTAGGCCCTTTCTGTAATTCCATGAAGTATCTTTCGCGTATTAATAACTATTCTTTCAGTTGGGTATGTGAAAACTCTTGTAACTCAACATCGACCAATGAATTGTTTCTTCATTTCCTATTGGTGGATTAATTATGCCAGTAAATTCATCTCAGCGTAACTCAAATCATTGAATATTACCTATAAATGAAAATCAATAACTCTGTATACCGTCTACTGTACCTATTTCATATACACTTATTAGCTCAAATACTCACACAAAAATCATGTTTCAAATTCATCACAATTCTGAAAGAGTAAGATCCCAGTGCCATCAGACATAACTTATTTTTTCACATATGCTTGTGGAGCTCGCCTTGTGACACCTGGCTAGGTACTAGGTAACAAATTTATCATAGATGTCAGACCCTTTCCATAGAACAAAACTTTTGTCAGACGATTTAAAGCTCCACAATAATTGAATGAACATTACTTATTTTTACATGTCTGATTTTCAAATATGTTATTAAGGTAACTATTACAAAGTTATATTTCATTAATCAGGCAAATTGTAGTGACCAAACATCCTCTAAACACAAAAATTATTCAGCCAAGAGAATAGCGCCAGAGCACTTTACGGAAATAACCAAAGATACATTAATGTAACAAAAGTTTACCGGCACTTGGGCCAACTTGTGTAAAAGTTTGCCAGGATTTCATGCATTTACTGAATGTGACTTCAATCCCGCCTTTTTTAAGAAAGCTAAACAAAGACCATTCAATATATTGATGAAAAAACATTAATATCAGCAAGCTTTGATGCAATTAGAAGCATATACAAAAGTTGTTTTCAATAAAATAATTACAGAGTATCTAATATTAACGAAGAATTCAATCCAAAAAAATTTAAAAATGTTGATGCTAGCAGTTTACCACCATTGCTAGCATATGGAACAATTTAAATCAAAAGTAACCTACCATTTAAACTCCTGAACTTTAAAAAAACAGTTTCATTTTCATTGGTTTAATGGTGAAAAATTACCAGGAGACGTTAGTGAATCCCTTCAATAATCAGGTACTGTACTTTGACTTCAAGTCAAATAAAATTGCCCGGAATATATTCATTTGTCCCAATATAAGCAATAGATTAATTTAATAAAATATTAATCGTTGATTACTTTATTGTTGAAGTTCGTCTTATTTGAATAGATGTAAAAGTATTGAATCAAAAGCAGTAAGTACTTTAAAAATATTTAAATATTTCACTCTGAGACGCATGGGCTTAGTGCTCGCGCTCATCCTTTCGCTTCAGTTAAAGGGGTGTTTGATTACTACTATTTGTCTGACTACTGAAATATAATATTTTAATGGTTACCTTAATAACATATTTAAAAATCAGACATGTAAAAAAAAGTTAAGTTCATTTATTTTTCGTGGAGTTTTAGAGCTTGTGACAAAAGTGTTGGTCCATTTATTATACTTTGACACTTAATTATAAATTGAGGGATATAGCCGTTATTACGTGGTGGAAAATCATAATGAGAAAAGAGAATTGAAACTTTCTATGTTTTTTACCACTTTATTAGTAACTAACGTTATTGCATTTTCATCCTATAAGGACATTTTCAATCTTATACATTAAACTATAATATAAACTAAACTATATAATATAACAATGGTTTATTACATTAGCCTTTATATAGCACCCTTGTAGGTAATAATAGAGGTACTTGGCTTGACCTGAATTTACAATTTACAATGCGGATGTGCTAATTTGAAGATCGATTCAGTTTACTCACCGGTCTTCAAATGAGCACATCCTCATTGTAAATTGTAAATTCAGGTACTCAATCAAGCCAAGTACCTACCTATTATTACCTACAGGGGTGCAAGGCTAATGTAATAAACCATTATTAGTTTAATGTATAAGTTTGAAAATGTCCTTATAGGATAAAACTGCAGTAAGGTTAGTTGCAAATAAAAGAGGTAAAAAATCTGGAAAGTTTCAATTCTCTTTTCTACACTTATTATACTATTTTAGAATAATATTCTACAAAACATACATAATAATCAGCCATATGGAGTTAAGTTGAGTAACTCTTATTTTAAGTTACCTTTCTTGCCTGGTACTTGCCCAGGCAAGCTCCACAAGCACACAGATAATCAAAGAACATGAGACGCTACTGAGAACCTAAGGTTTCATCCGTGTGAAAATAAGTTATGTCTAATCGCTCTGGGATCTTGGACTATATAATAAGTCAACGTAATACTTAGTATTGGCAACATCGCATGATAATAAATAAATTTGACAAAGGCCGCACTTTATTTAATAATTAGGCTTGAAATAGATGTCTTGGTGCAGCATATTCTCATAAAAAATACCTTATTATTCATGACTGAAATAAATAGAAGTATTGACAATTGACACAGAACTACTACAGTTGGTCTATCTGATTTTGCTATGAACTTGTTTTCAGGAAAGCCAATCCTGATATGAATTTCAGAATCCTTATACGAATGTCGAAATCAATAACCACCCTATTGTTTATTATTTCGTGTGCATTATTTAATAAATGTGTGATCTTGTTTTCAATTGTATACATGTCTTTTTGAAATCAATATTTACCACATATTCCTACCCAAAATATGAGTACAGGTGGTAAAACAAAACAGTCAGCCTTTGCTGAGACTTTGAGATATAACCTTCGTCCTCTCGGCGCACATACCACAGTAGCAGACGAAACGTTTGGTAATAAAAGTTTCATCCGAACACGGTCTACCTGGGAGGATTTTATTTTCTCTAATCGTGACTTCGGCTATGAAAACCTAAGATTATATCTTGAAACATTTAGCATTTGTGTCAATGAGGAAGTGTACGAGTGGCACTTCTCTGGAAACGTGCAGGCCAAATCAGAATGTTCAATTGGTCTGCAGTTTTTTATGCCTGACATTTCGTATACGTCTGAGGTGAACATATCAAATGTGATGAAGCAAAGGATGAAGGGTTTTGGTTGTCTTCAAAGCAAGTATTGGTACAAGTCCTCCAATTTATTCTGTTGGTACTGGTTATGGTTTCTTTCCTATTGGTTGGATCAAATAGCCCAACACAAGAGCAATTAAATGCAGGTAGTCATATTTTACTTCTATTGATTCCCTTGTCCTTTCTTTTAAAATCATTCCTATGTTTCTGAATTTCTATTGCCTCCCTAGAATAGCAACTTCAAGTTCTATCGAGGATTTAGGTCTCTTCAAACGCGATAATGTTGATACCTCTCCCAAGTACATGTTTCGCTATTGCTGATTCATCGGTATGCCCCAGCGGGATTTTTTTTGTGTTCAGAGATCTGGGTACTTATACCTCTGTCTGTCATCCCAATGTAGACTGATCCACAGCTGAACGGGATCCGGTAAACCCCCTTAGTTAACTTTAGCTAAACGTCGGTAACATTATTCACGTATGGCAGGAGAGGTTTTTCACTGACATGCTTATTTGAAGTAGCCTTGGTATTCTCTTTTCTGGATCGTATTGCCCGCTCGAAATCGGCTTCACCGTACGCATTCTATTTGAAAGCATTTTTCAAATAACTGAGTTCCTCGGAGAGACTCTCAGGTTTTCAGATGCGTCGGGCTGTCGCAACTAAAGTTTTAATTACCTCCCTCTTTTGACGAGACTGGTGGTTGGATTTCTTATTCAGATACCTGTCTCTGTGCTTTAGTTTTCTGTATACTTTATGTCCCAATGTCCTATCTTCACATCTATACATTAGTACATCCAAGTAACAATTGTTCTTTGGAATTGGAATTTTGTGTTGGGAGAGTTCAGACATGAAAAAATTCGTTTATTTGCTCTTCACCGTGCCGTCATATCACGAACGTGACATCAGTGACACAAAGTACTTCATAAAAATAACTGCGTGAACGCAAGCGAGACGTAAGTGGAACCACCGATGGGTGTGACACCCAAGTCAACTTGCCAAGTTTTTATGTCACTGTTGGTGGGTTGACCAACCAACCGACAACTGCGGTAGCAGAAATTTGGGAAGCTAACCTGAAATGCCTTCGGAAAAAGAATCCACATGTTTCTAGAAATGATATGAAATTGAGAAAGGCTGATGCAGTCAAGCTGCTGAAAAATAATTCCATGAAAATCAAAAGATGCAATTCCTCGATTTAAGACAAAATATGAATACCCACGAAAAGTACTTGGTAAAAATAACTGTGTGGACGTAAGCGAGACATAAGTGGAATCTGTTGATGAGACAGATGGAACATTCTAAACATTGATAAAGTCAGACTTTATCTAAATCAATTACCTAATTCACGTTTTATGACATGTGTACATTTTATTCATTTGAAGTCTGTAATGTAAAAGAAATATACCTGTTATTATCTTAAATACTTTTTACAAGTTGAATTTTTGGGTTTTGAGAACGAAAAGAAATTACTTTCCAGAACGTTAGTTTTTTTTTTTAAAGTAAATATCTATTAAAATTTGTTTGAAGGTGATTGACAATTTTTCATAATGAATTTCATCAGTTCGGACTTCCATTGTCTAATATTATATAAAATGATTTGAAATCCCTGTATTGATTGTTTCAGGGATTTCAAATCATTTTATGTAATATTAGACAATGGAAATTTTATAGTATAGAGTAACTTTTCGGGACAAACTTTTCAGTTTGCTCTTTGCTACACCTTAGCAAATTATCTATTGATTTAGCTTTGTTTTTTTCTGAATTATGCGCAAAAAAAAACAAAAAATATTGAGTACTTCACAAAACTATATTATACAATAACTGATGTATCTCATCAACATTGTTTCATAACCATGAAGTCTTCTGATTATATTATCAAGACTAAAATCCTCCCGAAATGATTTTCTCGATAACTAAATGAAACAATTCCAAAATGTTACTCAAATATAAAGTATATTTAACTAAAATATATTTTGAATAGTCTCTAATTTTTAGTCACTTTTACCTTTTTCACTAAATACTCTTTTCTCTTTTATTTCAAGGTTACGAGAAGTCGGATATTTGTATAAGCTTCATTATTCAAGTATCTCTCTTTCAAATTTTAACGTTTAATCTTCGGAATTTTTCTAGTGATGTCTAATGAGACAAATCTGATATATTTAATGGTCGATGTCTGGGATTTTTATTGTTTTCAAAGAGGACGCTTTTTCTGACGTAATATTTTTAGGAGTAATTACTTGATTTACTATTCACCTGTCTATTGTTCGGTAAATACAGTAAAATGAATATACCGTGTTAGTTATTCCTAGCATTTACGGTTTTTCATTCCTCTGGAAAAAAATAATCAAACAAGTAATGTTTGTGTTAGGTTTTAGAAAATAGCATCGTAATTATTCTATTTTACTAGAGCCTCTTTGGTATTGAAAATCTATATTTGATTACTTCAATTTAACTTTGAGAATGTTTTATTTACTTTGAGATGAACCTTGGTCGTGAAAGGCTTTTTGTACTCAATTCAAGTTGCTACTTTCAGATGTAAACTTTGATGGTTTCAATGATGTATTACACCGAAAAAAATCGTCCACGAAGTATTTAAAAGTCAGTTTACGAAATGTTTCCATATTCCTAACCTACCTTTCTTTATCAAGAAATTCCTTGCATGCTGCATAACAGGGGTAGATAAAATCGTATCGAGCAGATCGTTTTCTTCGGCTTTTTCTTGGGCAGTGTACACTTCATTTTCGTTTGCTTTCAAAATGTAATTGTTGTATAGAAGCATCATTTTCGATATAGATGGTATAGAATAAGCTGCTTGATTAATGGAAAGCAATCTGAAAATGTTGAAGTCGTTTTAAGTTTAAATTTTGGCATTACTTTGAGATTTCAGAACATTTCATGAGACAGCTGCCACTCAGAAGATTGTGTGGATTGTGTAGAAGTCATGAAACTGAAAAGGAAGTTTAAATGACTCGAAGGCTGAATTATATAAAAAATATCAGCTCATACCCAAAAGAAACATTAAACCTAACTCTGAATTCCTTTTCTTCTTTGCGATGGTAATCACAATCTCTTGAATCCTGGATATTTCACAGTATTACTAAGGATGCTTAAAAGTAAGGAGACAATGTGCAGGATAGGAAATTCTCATCAGATTTTCATATGCGAAGATTGCCAGAAGAACATTCCACAGTGCTTGTTGGCGGATTGTTTGATAGTATATGAGAATTTTTTCTATTCATTTACCTAATATAGTATGATTTCTGGAAAATTATGCACTTTTGAATACAATGTTTTATATTTTGGTAGTTTTCAAACAAAACTACTCATTTTGTAAACATAACCACTAACATGAATAATGTTATCTTCCAATAGTGAGAAATAGCGGTATTTTGAATAATTCATAATAATAAACGTGAATAATACAAAGCAGAAGAAAAATAATTGCATGGTGAAAACACAAATAAAAAACAAGGTAGAAACCTGAGGAGATAAGAAGTTCACGACTCAATTCCATCTAGCCTTACATCTAAAGATGAAAAGGGAAAATTTTAGTTAGCGAGTAAATACGTTGTTCACAAAACTTACGGTAATGGTGCTTGGTCAACAGTAGATCTAGATGTTGTCATTCCTTGTAAATTCAATGTAACATGCACGGCAGCGTTGTTGATGTCTTTATTGAGCAACTCTTCGGCAAACTCCCTCAGCTCGTTATCGGTAACTTCGGTAGGGTTAGTTTCTCCTCCGTTTTGTCTCTCTGCATTGTTCATCGCTCCTTTCACCATGGACCCTGAGGAAATCACACCACCCGCTCTATTATTGTTGTTCTGTCCACGTAACGGCATACTATCACTGCTACGGACTGGCATGGTATTTCTGTTGTGGGATGGAGTATTTGGAACCGAGGGTATACTTGAAATTATTACCCCTCCTGCTGTACCACCCCTTTCGTTATTTATAAAAACTGTGTTGGTATTCATTGGCTTAGTACTAACGACACCTAATAAATCTCGGTTACTGGTGCCTTGTGGGGGTACAGGGGTGTTACGAACCCAATTTGGTCCATTGTTGGGGCGAACCCACATTGGAGCCTTGGTGGTGTTGGTTGGGAAAACGTTCTGTCTGTTGGTATGACGACCAAGCGACGGCCAAGGTGTCGTGGATTTGGAATTCGTTCCAAGGTACGGTTCGATAATGGGTCCATGATTATTCCTTGCATGCCAAGGATTTTGAGATATTTGACCTGTTATATCACCACCTAGTGAAGAGTATTTATGAAAATTTGAAGGATGAACTATGAGGGATGAATTTAGAAATATCTCTGATTTTTATGAGGCTTATGAATAGTACAGCTATTGTCAGAAAACCTGATGAAATTGAAGCGGTGCAACATAAAGATTTTCAAATATGAACACCCATAAGGATCAGAGTTTAGGCATGCATTAAGTACTATTCCACTTTGGTAGCCGAACTAATTGCTATGTAATGTTAAGAATCATGTAAAATTTGTGACGTATTTAAATTTGTTTTCTTTTCAAGGTACTTTGTTTCTAGTTTTTTGTTTCACAAACATTATGCCACATTTCTTAGTTATTGAATAATATTTTTCGTTGTTATTATTGTTAACGACATTCAAGCATCCCTGCAAATTTATAAATCTCTTTTTCTTACAGATGTTTTCAACCACCGGTTTTGACCGTTAATTTCTGCAAGTCTTTAACTGGTTGACAATGCATATTATGTGCTCTTGAGAGCGTTTTCAGATGTGGGGAGGACCTGCGTCTGCACTATGGTACGGGTCCGTTTAACATTTCAGTTAATAATGGTGATTCGCGGGTGATTCTTCGCGTTCACATCGTCTAAACGACTATATTTTATTGTTGATATGTTGATATTTACGGGTCCGCTGCTAGGCCGAGGGCACGACAATGGCGACGGCCGAGCAATGGCGAAGTGGCGCGACGGCGGAACGGTGTCGGAACATCTACAGTATATGTAAAGTGACCAGACGTCCCGTTTTGAACGGGACTGTCCCTTTATTTGACCATCTGTCCCGTTGTCCCCAAATAATGATCTGGGACGTGAAATAGTTCCGTTTTCTAAAATCATCTCTAAAAAACCGTTGATAGGTATCGGATGTGGAGGCCATATAATATAAGGCATTATACGTATAATGCTATAAAATCTGCAGCAGACGGCCTACTTTCACATTACGAAAGCATTATTGTAAAAATTTATTAACTTTTTTATATTTGTACGGTTGGAGTTGAAGATCTGAAGGAATTTTGAGCTGAAGCTGAAATAGAACATCACCAAATGCTCGGCTACAGCAAATCTCGCTAGTTGCGCTGATGCCTGCTTTGGAGAGAATTTTGAAAATGTACCAGACGTTAAAGATGTCCCAAATCAATAAAAGACTTTTTTGAAGATCCTACATCTGTTTTATGGCTTTGTTTTTTACACGCTCAGTCAGCAAGTTTTCGCCAAGCTGTTTTGAAGGTTGAAGGTCAAACTGTATCGGCGAATGACGCTGCAAAAGAAATCAATCAACTCATTTAGAATTTGATTAAGAAAGAAACCAATCAGTTTCTTCCATTTACTGTTCGTAACATAAAATCATAAAACTGAAAGAACAGAATTTTATAAAACAAGTCGTGAATATTTGGAACAATAGACTAACTTTTTTCCTATAGAAATGGAGATATTTTATTGGGCAGATTTAAGAAAAGTACCTGCGTGGGAAGATGTACAAAAAGCATTGGATGTATTGATTGAAAAGGGATATATTGAGAGTACTAAAGATACAGAAGTATTTGACAAATTTTCATTAATTGTAAACTACGTCACTCCACAAAAAATTACTCACTGGAATAATATAGAACTTCACACAGAAACTTGTTGGGTGGAAGTATTCAAACACTTTCGCACCAACAATCTGCAACATGAAAATTTTTGTATTTTAATTGAATATATTTTATGTCTACCTGGTACAAATGCTCCAGTAGAGAGAATATTTTCTTTAATGAATAAATTGTGGACGTCTGAAAAAAATCACTTGCAGGTTTCAGTTCTGAAGGCGATGTTGATAACTAAGACCAATATAAAAAAACGTGCCAAGAATTTCACTCTTATTTAAAATCATCACCATATTAATTGAAGCAAATTTGTTCCTTTGAAAAATATGAATACGACTAGAAATATAATATTTTGCATATAATTTGATTACTGTCACATTAACCAGTGTCCAGGTTAAGTGGAAGAACAGGTTATTTTTATCGCCCTCAGATGAAAATAAACTGAACTTCGCCTTTTAGTTTCCTGTAATAAATTTTTTTGTATTAAACTGTTAATTACCTAATATTGGAAATAATGACGACGAATTATTATTATTAATATTAAAAGGTGATTTAATGCGTCCATACAGTATTGAGTATGGTCCATACTGTATGTAACATACATACATATATACATAGGTATGTTATATATGGACGTCCCGTTTTGAGTTGACAAAAAAATGGTCAGTTAAAGTATAGGTAACGCGCACGAAACGAGTGTATTTTGTCAAAACCTGATCAAGGAAAAAGTAAAAATGTTCACCTCAGCTCGTAATAAAGGGAAGAAAATTCGCAAAAATTGCTTCTTTCTTCATTTATTGAATGAACACCATCTCTAGGTAATAATAACTACGTTCTCATTAGCAGAATTGGCTTCAATAGTTCTCTTCGACGTAAACTTGTGTTACGATAACGTGACATGTGACTCACAAATCTACTCCAGCACGACTGACTGACCGAAGTTTCGTGCCCACGCAAGATACTTCTCTTCATCGCGCCGCGCTGCCCCACGTTCGCCATCGCTCCGTCGCCGTCGCCATTTTCGTGCCCCCAGCCCTAGGGCATATAGGTGCGGACACGGGTTCACCCTGCATCCTCTAGAGAAGTTAAAAAAGCAAAAAATCTAAATCTTCTGGGCCAGAGTAGGTATATTTTGTTGAATGATTAAGAGAAACATTATTTTGGAAACTATTGTGAACTATACAATCATAACACTTTTTGATGATCTCGAGAATGTGGAAAAATTGTGTGTATATAGTTAAATGACCAAATGCTCTAGAAGTGGATTTATCGTTTTACATAGGTTAGTGAAGTGGCATATATTGGGGTACATATCCCCTCTACATTTTCTTTTTGCATATTTCATCTATCAAATTTTATATTATTTGTAAATGCCAATGTTTTTTCATCAATATAACTCTGTTGCATTGAGTTTTCTTTATAATTTCATTCATTTATAATTTGTTTCCATTTTTATTGTTGTCAAATTTCTTGAAAAAGAAAACACAATTTTCCCAAAGCTTGAATAACAAGAAATAGTGTTCCATATTCAGCTCGTATACAGTGTGACACACATGAAATGAAGACACCCCAACGCAAAATTCGAATTTTGATTTTTTTTGAAATTTTCGTATTCAAACCTGATTTTCAATAAATAGTTCCAAATAAGAAGCTACAAAATTAGTCAAAATCAATGAAATAAATATATTGAAATAACTAAAATTGAAAATTAATATTTTATCGAATTCAATCTCCTTTACTAGCTTGTCTCAAATTTTTAGGAATTTTTCAATTTCCTGTAGGATATGATTGGTTACGAATTTACCTGACGTGAAATAAGTATTCCAGAACTTAGACGAGTGACCCATAATAATAGAAAAAGAATTGAAAAATGTATCAGAATTGAGGGCGGGCCAGTTGAGAGAGATAATATTTGGAACTTGTGATGCACTGTTTGGAATCTTTGGTGTAGTAATGAATATTATTGGAGTTTTGGGAAAAAAACTCCAGTAATATTCAACACTATCCATGATAATAATTCATCACGATAGCTTCATCAGTTGGACTGTTTTTTTACTATTTTTTTTTCTTGGGTGTCATCGGCATCGACTGCATTGGTCATTAGCCTCGTGTCCTGAGTAGGTAATAACTCTCCGAGCCACCTAGGAAGCATCATGGCTATTCGCAGTCTGTCAATCGTGTAACGTTGTCGAATCATCCCAGCTTCAACTAGATAAATTCTTTCGAAAAAAAATATGTTCGAGGTTGAGATCGAACTCAGGACATTCCGATTGTGAGTGTTGAATTAATTTCTTTGTCATTTAATTTCGACCGATGTCTCTGTGCTTTTTAGTAACTAATAATCAAAATTTGAATATACTCATAATTAATATTAGATTTTTCTTTGTTTGAAGGTGATTGACAATCTTTCGTGATGAATTTCACTAGTTCGGACTTCCATTGTCTACTATATAAAATGATTTGAAATCCCTGAAACAAGTAAAAAAGAATAATTAAAAAAGAATAGTTTATTAGATTTTTCATTCTTATTTTCACATTATAACGAATTCATTATTGTCGTAGCTTCTTACTTGGAACCATTAATTGAAATTCAGTTTTCGTTATGATCAACGGAAAGTAGAATATCGAGAATTTGCCCTTTTCGCGGGAACGCAGTAGGCTGGATTCAAGGCTGTCACTTGGGCTAAATATTGTGAAAAGTGCGGCTCATGAAGGTATATGTCCGTACCATAAATCAAATATCTGGACGAGCTAGTAGTCAGAAACCGGTGTATCGGTGTGATAATACATTCCATCCATAATTCTGAAACTACCGCAATTCAAATTTTTCACATTACAGATATTGTGCGTTTCGGAAAGTACTAAAAAAAGTATTGCAACTTTTTTTCATAACTTAGTATTAGCTCAGAAATTATTTGAGAATTTGTGAATGTGTGTGTTCGACAACTGAAAATAATGGAAAAATCTCTAAGAACGTTTTTTGTTTGCCACAAGAAGACAAACAAAATAATTCATTACATTTTTGCTGTAATTCCGAAACTAGTACAGATATCCAAATGTTTACATTACAAAAAATATTGTGCGTCATAAAGAGCACTACAAAAAATTTTCGACTTCTGATTTCATAACTATAATAGTTCAGAAATTATTCAAGAATTTGTAAGTTCAGATAATATTATATACATTTGGAAATTTTTGAACAGTTTTTTATATTAGCCATACCTAGTTGATAAATTATTTCAAAAACAATAATTCCACTGGACTTTCACATAATTGGTTTCGAATGAAAGTTTAGAATAAGTTTCTAGTATAAAATTGAAAATATTGTCAACTGGTCTACGTCTGGTTATAGTATCGAGAGTCCCAAGCTCTAAAGTCTTGAACTTCTATGTTGTGCATTCATAATAACAAGCTATCATTCAGCGCCTTTGTATCTATATGTATGACAATTTAGGTCAAATACTGTAAGTGAAATTTGAAGCACTTATTTTCAACTGATTGAGCATTCTATGCGGGGTTTGCTGAAAATAATACAAAAAATAACATGAGGTCACTCTTAATCCAATATGGTGAACCGCTCAATATGTCTGACTAGTTTGTTTTTGCTCCCCCACAATAAAGGTACCTTTCAAATCATAGGGTTTTCTGAAAAGATAGAAATAAAATACATTAAGTACTTCTATTTACGACTATATTCAGTGAACTACCTCAATCACGTACAATTTTTTGCGCACTAAAAACTTTTTACAATGATCAGTTCCGTACTTCTGATATTGCCTGATACTGAATAATATTTATTCTCAAACACAAAACATCTCCAATTGAATCAATGAAAATCTTAATTTATCCAAAACGTCAACTTACAAGTAAAAATTTTGCATATTTAAGCTACATAAGCTACAGTATATGTAAGCTACATAACGATCTGGCGGTTTGATATAACTGTGAAGTCTGAAAAACCACCATCAGAAGTTACACACACTTGTCTGGTATCATTTAATTTTTCTCATTCACCTTATTTATCAAATCAGATCATGGAATGACTGAAATATAATCTTTGCTATCGTTCAAATAGTTCGGTTCAATCTGGTCAATATGGCATTTCCATTTCATTCCATTATCTAATTTTATTATGTAAGTTCTTCGGCCAAGAATTTCTTTTATATTTCCCGCGCACCATTTTATCTTGGAAAACATGTGATCTTGGGTAACAATAAATTGACGCTAATAAGGGATCAAATTTTGTACAAAGGTTACGACCAAATGAAATTTTTGAAGGAATTTGTTTTGTGGAGATATGAGGTGTATTCCTATAATATAATAAACGCCGGTGTATAATTAAATGTGTATCCAAGTTTGAATCCTCATACACTTTTGTCATAAGTGTTTTTTTTATTTTGACCACACGTTATACTAAGCCCCACTTTCTCGCAAAAATTGTTTAAACTGTTCCGATCAAAAAGTAATATGTACAAATTTCAATTGGCAACCTGAATCTAGAAAATAGGTCTCGAAAACTTGTAATAGTTTAATTTGCTATCCGCCCAAAAAATCGGCATGTATAGCCAAGCTTTTTCTGGCCATATATACGAACGAGCTAAAGAATTCATTTTAACCACTCCCATATCCTTACTATGCAGTTCTCTTAAAAGATTTTACTGAAATTTCTTTGTTATAATAATTCTTCATCACCACATTAAAAATTCACATTCCACCGTAACCTCTCATTTGAAAAAAAATGGTTTCAAATTTCGCGTATGGACATATATTTGGCCAGCCTTGTCTAACATAAAAAATCGGATCCCTAGCTGTTTGCTTTTTTTAAAAAGTCGATTGGTATATTAGATTCTTACAAATAATTGATATGTGGCATATTTTGATTCGTTTTAATATTAAAAATATCATCTTTCTATTCGTATATGCTAGAGGTATTAGAGATAAAAACAAATTCGAAAAATTAAATGGCGTCATTCTGAATTCCAAGATGGTGAGCTATGTTATTTTATGCACCCCTTTAATACACAATGAGTTCTAGATGTCAATTATGTAATGTAATAAATTGACGGATTCAAACTAATTTAAAACTTATTTTTCAGATGAATACAAGTTTCTTTTTAGAGATGTTCCTAAATATTGATTAATTTTATCATTTTATTTTATAGAAAGAGCTTCTTGAATATTACTGGAGTTTTTTCCCAACACCAAATTGTAATTTTTTTATTTTTACACCTCGACACGTGTTTCGATCACCAAGTGATCATCTTCAAGAGGAAGATAAAACATCTTCCTCTTGAAGATGATCACTTGGTGATCGAAACACGTGCCGAGGTGTAAAAATAAAAAAAATAACGATTTGGTGTTGGGAAAAAACTCCAGTAATATTCATTACTACACCAAAGGTTCCAAACAGTACATCATAAGATCATAAGTAAAAGAGCTTCTTATTTTATTAATCCTTTTTCATTTCATTTTCAAATAAAAATAAAGACCTTCAAAGTCTGAGGTAATTTGACCTTTTCAAGTTACATTCATTTCTAAATTTAGAAAGATCCTTTCAGTAAACATTTAGAAATACCACACAAATGATAATTAACCACGAACCAACAACTCAAACATAACACATAACGCCAAATACTTTTCAATAAATAGGTTGTTTCGCATGTATATTTATCAAAGCCAGGGGTAACACTCACAAGTCCAGTGCTATTGGTCTTCATTTGTTGGTGTTAAGTTAGACACCTACAAATTTGTAACACTAAAACATTTCGGAAAAAGAAAAGCACAAAATGAAATTTTCATTGGAGGAGTGGGGGTAATATTTCATTACTTTTTGGCGAACCCCTCAACTACATTGAAAACTTAAGTACGCCACTGCATTAATACTAGTTTTTCATCATGTTATTTATTATTCAATGAGTTGTTAATATGCATGAAAATATACTTACACAGAACATCTCCAAATAAGGCAGATATCATAAATATAACAAAATGAATTAGAAAAGACGATAGATTCATGTCTACTTCGAGATGGCACAAATCAATAAAACAAAAATTGCTAGGTCAGAGTGTTCATGACCCTTAAAACATCGACTGAAACTGAAGTTGTCAAAAATAATCTGGGTCAGTTGACCTGGGGGTCACAGTTTTAATATTAAACGACTTATCAGACAATTCATATAATATTAAAAAATATAACCAAGATCATATGCCTGAGTGGATGTCTAGAAAGAGAAAGTGAAAATGCACTTTCTTATTACATAATTACATGTGACTACTGACATGACAAGTAGGTAGGTGACGTTTTATTGGTACTTGCTGCAAATTTTACATTTTTTTTACCAAAGATTAGCAGACTGAAAAAATATTATTTGTGATTGCTTTGTTGAAATGACGTCTGCAGACAATTTTTCATCACATAAATAAAGAATTTGACTAATTTTTTAAACATGGAGGACCACACAGCGACATCTAGGAATTCGAACATTAAACTCTAGGAAAACATTCGCTATTGCCGTACCTCAGTCATAAAAATTCAAGTATAATGTGTTATATCCACCTATTGAAAATAGTATTTCACAGAAATGTAAAAGGTAACTCAAATCCAAAAGGTACAGTGAGTTAGTGTGAAAATTATGATTCAAAAAATGTTTCTATGCTTTGTCAAAAATCAGAAACTAGTAAAATAATAATATCACAATCGGTGGATCAATTAACAAATGTATATGTGTTTATAGTAAATATTTCGTTACAGACGAGTAAATATATAAAATGCTGTGTATGTATTAGCAATTTTATCTAATCTATTGCATTCTGAATACAATGATAAAAAGTTGAAAAGACTGAAAAAACAATTATTTCTCATCTCTGAATATTGTTTACATCTGTCAAGGATTGATTCTATTCTTGTTTGTCATAGTTTCATTAAAATGCGCTTGAATGGAAGCAAAAACAAAGAACAGAGAGAAAGAGGACGTTTGTGTGCATCAGACTATATAGGTGTTTTCTGGTGTTTAATCGTATTCGAACATGTATTCAAAAACGATTCGTAATGACGTCACTCGAGGCTTTATTGATCTTTGATTCAGATTTGGGTGTTTTGTCAGTTCTATAACGTATGTGGTCCAAATATTTTCACGTCGCAGAATATATCCACTCCCATCCTCGAATGAAAAACACAGAACTCATAATTATAGACATAATATATAATTATGAGTTTTGTGATAAAAAGATTTTGAAAAATACTTACGTGAAGTGGGCTCTACTCTTTCCTTTTCGAATGGAGTAATTCAAAATTAAACGTACGAATTTGTATTTTGGAAAGTTGAATATAAATCAAATAACCTCTGAAATGTCTTTTGTCTAAACAATCTATCGCGTATTTTCACTTCAAAACCTTACAACACAAAAAATACTTTTTTCAAATAGATAGGTCGATAATGTATATTTGAAACTAGAGCATTCATGGTCCATCAATAGTACTAGGCTAAACTTCAAATTCATTGCTAGACTCAACTGTTCTTATTATAAATAGTAATGATAATGATATGAAGTATCAAAATTCACTCTTCAAACTCTGCAGACTCCACCCTGACTCCTAAGTGAAATGCCTACACTACGATGCTACTGCACCCTCCGAATCTGTTCTGTTGTGTTTAAAATATGTTGTTCCGTTAAGCAGCTGTCGCACCCCTACGAACGACAACCCTCAGAAGTTGAAACTTGTGCGAGCTAAGGATTAACGAGGTCTTAACTTTTAACGTGTGATTCCTAACACGGGTTGTACGATGTAAGTGAAAATAGACCACCGACCAACACGTCAGTCAATTCGAGTGAGTGAACAAAGCACCCACGTCGAACCGTCTGGCTTCCGACTAACCGAATAGATGGAAGCTTGGAGTTCAGAGCCTGACCAGCAAGTCTTTTTTAGATAATAATAAGAATAATGTTATATGAACAGAGAAGGTAGAAGAGAGGGATCGGTGGATGTAAAGAGTACCTACTGCTCATCGATGTGTATCGCAGGAATCGGTATAAGCGTAAACTATTTATAGCTTGATCGATTACCGCAATAAGGCATTTGATCCAATATCGGATGAGCTCATCTTGTACTTGCTCAGATTTTTTGCAATACCCGACAAAATAGTGAGATGCCTTAAGCAACTGAAATCACACTGGCGGACCCGCTTCACCATAACAACTGTTCAGGTCACTTTTAGAAGTGTACTTCAGGGCGATTTCTCAATTTCTTGTTTCTAGGAATGTCACTACTCCCATTACCCTTTGTGCTCAGAAATGATCAAGGATATAACTGTGGCACCTCCGGAAACCCACCGTTTGTTTTATATGGATAACCATGAACTTTATGCCTCTGGAGAGAAGGATAAATTTTGTTCAATACAGTTATGTCACTTTAATAGTTGAGTTGGTCTTATTTATCACTTAATATAGTTTTCAAGTCATCTCCTAGATTATGGCGGCGTCTCTCGTCTTATTTATCACTTAATATAGTTTTCAAGTCATCTCCTAGATTATGGCGGCGTCTCTCATTTGTATATACTGGGCATTCGGTTAAAATATGTGCGATAGTCAATGCAGTATCACATATATAACACATTGGAACTTGTTCTCCTGGGAGTAGATAATTGTGCTTATTTCAATTTAAACAGTGAAATACATAAATGATTCCTCTTTTTTTCATTCTCATTTTCTCTGTCATTGATAATGACAAATAGTAGTATCATAAATAAAGTCATTCGCTGCTTTCATCTCTTTCTCTAGAGTTGTTGTTGTCCCGAAAATTTTATAATTTCAGTGTTATTTATTTTTATTATGAATCTAGTAGGTCTAATATTTTTCGAATAGTTATATTTTCAACATGAAGAAACTGTTTCTCAGTGGGTAATTCAGTTGATAATTCATGATTCCACGTAAAATTGAAATGTTCTGTGGGAGGTATATTTATGAAAATTCATTGAAACAGAGCCCTGAAGAAGAATTTAATTGAACTCGAAACGTTGGCAAGAAAACAATTGTTTTTCAATGACAAGTAATTCTGCTACCCAATTAATCCTTTTCGAAAATAAATACGAATATTGTTGATAAGAGGTCATATAAAACGGCTTTTAATCTTCAGGCAGAATATTTTGATGATACAAAAAATTCCTTCCAATCACTTAATTTCTGAAATGTTGTCCAAGCATAAACGACAAGAACGACAGCAATTTTGAAATACAACCAATTCTAGACAATATACTACCTACTTTCATCTTCAAGGTTATGAAATAAGGACACACAAAGATCAAAAATTCCGACAAAGCTGTCGCATCTGTATATTGTTACATCACAAAATGAAAGTATTTGAAATGTATTCTGTGATCTGTGCCCCACAGAGGTGTAAAACTCGTGCAAAATTATTTTATTCCTATCCTTTATTAATGTATTGAAATGTTGAGAACAGCGATAAACTGAATGTGCATCGGTTTTACTAAGGGAAAGTACTGTGCGTCAACTTCACACATGTAGAAAATGTGGTTATATTTTGAAATTTTATTTAAAAAAGGATTTGGAAAATTAGATTGAATTTTGAATTAGGATTTTAAAATTTTTATTCATCGACATGTGGAAGTTTATGAGCCACGTAGTATTGATTCAGCCGAGGTAAATCTTTTTCTTCGGAAGACAACATGAACATGTTAAATTAATTAGACTGCAAGTTTTGCAGTGCGGAAAGGCGCAGTCCCTTCATGAACAAAACTGCTTTAGAATTACGTTGAAACACATGTAGTGGACAGATGCGGAGTTTCGTTTCATACGGAAGCTTCATGCTGTGGAGGATCGGTTACAACCCTGCCTTAATCATAAACATTCAAGTATTCATTTATTACATCTACCTGTTTTAATAATTTTTCAGAAAATGAAAAACAAAAAAAAATCATGAAGCTTAGTAAATCTAAAGGTATTGTTTAGTGAAGCCAGTGAGATATATATCAGAAAACGTTAACATGCACAGTTTTGTCTAAGATCCAAAACAAGAATAAAATGGAAATTTCAGGACAATTTTCTATTTTCCCAAGAATGAGAATTAAAAATTATGAACCATATAATTTGGAAAACTACCTTGATGTGCAGAAAAGTCTGTTTTCATTGACAGCTTTCTCTTCTTGAAAGGTGGATTGAAATCAAATTATTTTTATTATCAACAATATTATATCTGTCATTTAATTAAGATATTTATATTGTTGAGCAGATCAAAGCTAACCTGATAAATGTTGTTTCTGTTTAAAATCTGTGTTTCCGTTAATCAGCTGTCGGTCCCCTACGAACGACAACTCTCAGAAGTTGAAAAACTTGTGCGAGCTAAGGACTAACGAGGTTAGTCTTTAGGAAAACATTGGTTATCGCCAAGAAGAACCTTAGTACAATGTTGTATATGGGCCCCATAATAGCGGCAGAGGTGGGGAGAGTAGTGCAAAGGTTGGCCTCCACAAAGTGGAGGTTATTGGAGGCGAAGGTGTATATATAAAGGAAAAGAATTTATTATTAACCATTCATTAAATAAAATTGCTTATTACTAATTCAAATTGAAAGGCAAATTATGTTCCTTATATTTTTTTGGTTTATTAACTTGCCACAATCTGAAACATTTGCTATTTGAAGAAAACTATGTATATAAAACAAAACTGCTTTAGAATTCCGTTAAACACATGCGGTGGCAGATGTAGAGTTACGTTCCATACAAAAGCTTCACACTTGTGGAGGATCAGTTATAACCCTGCTTTAGTCATAAAGATTCAAGTATTCTTTGTTATATCTATCTGTTACATCTTATATTCTTTCAGATAAATAAAAAAGACAACTCTTCATAATGATTAGTTAATCTAAAAGGTATTGTTTACTGAGTTAGTCAGGTATATATCAAGAAAACGTGAACATGGACAGCTTTGTCTAATATCCAAAACTACCCAAAAGCGGTAAATCATCAAACAAATTTATGTTCACTTCCACAGAGATGATTTTCTTCAATTACAGTGAAACTGAGCTGATTTGCCATTGCATACAACATTCATTCTCTCATTTGTTTGAAGACACCAGAGTCAATCTCACTTCGTGAGGAGTGAATTTCAACAAAAATCTATGTAGGCTATTTCTCTTATTTACACAAATATCACATATCGTAACATAGAAAACTGCTTCTCTTCCAATCTAGCATTATCCTTCTGTCAACCATAAATGAATAAATATTTCGTAGAAATGTCACTTTGACAATTCTTTGTTTTTCTGGAATGTATTACTTCCCTGCAAAAATGGCCCCCTCAAATATTTTCAAACTTTCCTGAGCCAATCAAAGCTGCAGTCTCTTGCTGAAATTATATTTATTTTAGGATTTTAGTATTGAGGACTCCCAATGTGAATTTTAGATTCACTCACAATCGTTTATTCATGAAAAATGCACAAAATAAGACTCCAACAAAGTTTAATGTTACCCATACAGTACCTAAATTGGCTAAAATAGGGATTTCATTGACTACAGCAGTAGCAATTGGTTTGGTCACTAATAGGCGACATGTATTTTGTGCTTCAAATAAAACACGAATGGTTGGATATGAGAAACATTTGGAAAGAAATCTTAAATTTGACTGGAGTCGTTTCTGGGCATATCTGAAACCAAACCTACTGTACCTTTTGGCTGCTGTAGCGGTAAGTGTTGCCCTGTAAACAGAGAATACCTGTTAACCTTCCATTAGTCCCACACATTTTTTAACAGCGGTAGTCTTGTTGGTCTGTCAGAAAAGGATTGAATAATAAATTCATTCATTTGGTCACAATTTGTGTTTCTATGATCAGTTATATTCCAATTAGCTTACTATTGAATTGAAATACCTATTTTTAATATAAATAAAAGCACAATCACAATGAGAATTATTTTGAAATTATTTTGAATTTGGCAAAAACCAAATTTTCTTCATTACTACTTCCTCAACAACACTAATTGATGCAATTTTGAGCTTTGATTATATTTGTTGATGATTTTCAGAGCTCGATTGTCAAATAGCTATATTTTGTAATTTTTGTTTTTCTATATTTTTCAACTGATCACAGAAAAATCACCTTCATCTCTATTCAATTTTTTTTTTCTGTGATCCATTACTTTTCATGTTGATTTCTTGATGATCCAAATTGTCAACATCATATTCAAAGTAGACCACTTCTTCCATTTCTCATTGTTACTGATTATCATAAAAAAAATCTGAATTCTCTCTTGTTATTTCTAGTATTAACTTTTATTTTGAATGTACTGCAAATGAATCAGCCTGAAGGAATACCTCTTTATAGAAATGATTTGTTACCAAAAAAAAATATGCACCAATAGTCACCTGGGGGGGTAACAGACTGGTTTTTTGACTAGATAAAATACACCACTGGCAAAACTAACTCTAAATGCCATAAGCAATAGATAAGAAGGTACTGATGATGAGAACTAACTACTCTTTCATGTTTCCATTAAATCATTTCATTGTAAACCCAACTTTTTATTGAAAACAATATCCTCACTGTGCCATGTATATTCATCATGAAATCATTATTGGCAATTAAATTACAACTCTCTAACCTACCGACAAGTGATGATAATCACAACTATAATACAAGATACGGTACTCGCTTGCAGATACCACAACATAGAACAACCCTGTTTGGAAATGCCCCTTCCTTTACAGGGGTTCAACTATACAATAAGCTCCCAGAGGATATTGCGAGTGCGAGGAATTACAGAATATTCAAAAACAAATTGAGTAAGCTTCTAATCAGTAAATGTTTCTATAAAGTAGATGAATTTTTTATTGAGCGACAATGGTGCCTGAATGCATTTTGAATATGTATTTTGTACTCTTAGGTATATGACCGGTGATAATTATCAGAATATAAATTTTTACTTTTATTCAAGATTTTATATATACCTACATGTGCTGTGTTCTCTTTTTTTTTTACTGTTCCAATATCATTTTTAATTGTGATCTGACTGGAATAAAATCATTATTATTATTACAAACCAACCAGGTCTGACAGACTATACTTGACTACTGGAAGGTTAACTTTCATGCAGTTTTGCAAAATTTGACATTGCATATCTCAAAATTTTAGGGAGCCTTGGCTGTAGCTATAATGAATATACAGATCCCACAAATAATGGGAGGTGTTATCAATGTCTTAGCAAAGTTTAGCGAAAGTAAAGACACTGATTTGTTTATGTCAGAGATGAAATCTCCTGCAATTAGACTGATTAGTATGTATGTTGCACAGGTATGTATACACTGAATGTTATTGAATGTCAGTAAAGCTGGCGCTGAAGAGTAGCAAATGTGAATAGGGGCATTTGGATTCCATTCACTACGAACATTTGGGATGTTAATGTAAGAGAACATTTACAAAATCGATGTTACTATTTTCTTATCGGTAATCATTTGTAAACACTACATGATTGAATATCTTTGGTATTTTAAATCAATCACTGTATTTTATTATCTTAGAAATATATCTTATTGACAAATCATAGGTGAATCATACTATTACACGTAACAAAATTATATAAGTAATACGGATCATTAATGTCAAAATCAAAATAGTAAGTCCAGACGAAAAAAAGGATAAAAATCATGCTCCAGCTACTGTATTCACCCAATTTGCTCCCCTGCGACTTTTTCCTGTTCCGAAATTTGAAGAGACCCATGAAAGGACGGCGTTATGCAACGATTGACAATATCAGAACTGCTTCGAGGATTGGAAATGACGCTGACAAAAGTGTAGCTTTCTAATGCAAGAATTTAGGAAGCAACAAGTTATCCTCTCACTTACATAATTCGACTGATTGCATACAAAATGAGTACCTATTACGTAAAATCGTCGAAAACTGTTCGCAAAAAAGGCAAATAAGTTATCCTCAATCAAAAAGTTCTTCAAAAATGTTTTTTAAACCTTACTGATGATGTGATACCCGATAATGTACCATGAGGGTTTTGCAGGAATAAATCGGTCAATATCGTAACAAATTACCGCAGTAATTTGAATAAACAGAACTCGAAAAGGAACTTCTTTTCACCATGTATTCTGTGATGAAGAGAGGAAGTATATGACAATGGTATTTTCCAAAAATGTACCTACATACACAAATTATATCTTTCAATCTAAGTATGAGTTATGTAGGATTTCCAGATTATAACCTATAAAAATATTGCACCAATTAGGTACAGTTTTGAAAAAATAGTTATCATACAAAAAACACATTTGAGGTTGTGAAAGATTTACAGAACATTACCATTTCAGTGAAGTACACATTGATCTCTTCAGATGTATCATTTATCACTAATATATACTAACAGATTTAACTGTGAAGCTGGTCAAAAAAAGGTGGCCCCCTATCGAACCCCACACCAGTCTCACTCTTGATAACTTTGTTTGAAAAAACATTCTATAAGCAAATATATGGGTTAGGTAGCATTTTCAAGTGCTATGTTGATGAAATCATAACTTGTGAATCAGAAGACCTTAGACAAGAGCTAAGCAAAGGACAAAGTTGACAATTCTCAACAAATTTTCAATACCTTCCACCCTCGTTTTCAATTCACTGTATAAAAAGAAAAGAAGAGAAACAATCGTAAAGGGAGTATCAAACTCCAAAATATGAACACTGAAAATAAAACCGAACCCACAGCCTCTTTCGCTGATAATCTACATCAATTTGATTTTGATAGAATAAAATTTGTTTAAAAGCAGGATAATTATAAAGATACGTATTCTTCATGAAAAGGTCAATATAAAATGTATATAATACTGAAAGAACATCGGCAACGAAATAATAGTAATTTTAGTTATTTGACACCCCAATCATTTCCTGTTCAGTGAAGAAAAAAAGTAAAATATATTTCAATATTGAAGTCTTATAATACTTGTTACTTATAATAAATGTTTGGACCTTCAAGTTATTTCGTTATTTGAAACGATCAGATATAAAGTAGTGCTTGACAAAAGCGTCATCCTTTAAGAATCATTTGACCGTTTTACATTTATTGGGACAGTATATTGATACTTGAAGGTATTAAAACCCCACCTGTTTTTAAAAATCTGTTTAAAATCTGTTTTTCCGTTAATCAGCTGTCGCCCCCATACGAACAACTCTCAGAAGTTGAGAAACTTGTGCGAGCTAAGGACTAACGAGGTCTTACCTTTTAACGTGTGATTCCTAACACGGTCCTACATACTTGGTACTTGAAAAAGAATTGTTAGTTATTTTTGCAGAACAGAATTCTGGATATTTGGAATAACATTTTTAATGCTTAGCTTTTTCAAATCGGCTATCGTTTCTTAAAAAATCCTTTAATGTTTTTAAAATCTGAAAAAATTACTGTTCAATACGCCTTTTTTTGGAAAAGCTAAGTATCAACAATTCAATTTGAATACTTCGTTTTCTTGGTAGGCAAAATGTATTATTATAACAAGTTACTGACTGATAAGACGCCTCAAAGGTTCACTTTGCCTTTTATTACACTTGAGCAGATTATTTTTCACATTCTGTCAGGTTAGAAACCCAGAAAACATTGTGGAATATTAACTTCTTCACGAAAAATAATGTCTTACAAAGAATAATAAGATTATATTTTTCAAACATTACTATTGAGGAGATTAGTATTCAACCATATTTGTAATTTTTTCCAGTCACTCCTGCTCTTTTGTATTATCTGTACGCACAATCACTGTGTGCTCAGCATGTGAGACGATATGCTCTTTCAAGTTATTTATGCATCTTCAACTATTAATATACACCAGAAATATTATTTGGCCTGAAACGGTGTCTTGAGGTATATCTTCGGAGGTTTTGCTAAAGTTGTTAATGATTTTAGCATGTTGGCTTCTGAAAGAAATACCTCTAAAACGCTTTTTACTGGCCCTTGTATTCTATATACACTCAGAGTTCTTCATGAGATGTATCAAAGGTCCTGGGCAGATTAAAAAGTTTGGAAATCAAAATCTCGTTTGAAATTCATCTACAAATAGTGAATATTCCCTTACTGTTCACTCATTTCACACAATTATAAGTTTCTCCACTTCTTTTAAGTTGTCAGCTCCTCCCAGATAATCATCCATATAATGTTCGTTAATAATAACTCTTGAGACTTTCAGGTATTCATCTGCAATATTCCTGGAACATCTATTTTTGCTTGATGAGCCGAAATAGGACCACTAGATAAACCAAAAAAAAACCCTACTTGATATTTTGATTGATATTTCTGTCCATTCCTCTATATAATATTTTTGGGCCACTCTCATTTCTGAGAGTTACCTAATGTCTGAAGTAGAAGTATATTCCGAAACGTGAAAGGACGGCAGGAATTCTTACGAATCGTTACCTAAAGAAAGGGAGTTATTTAAAGAAAAAGCATTAGATTTTGATGAAGTGTCTCCAACTTATTAGGATTATTGGGGTTGGTTACCCCAAATTTTGGCAAGTACTAAATTTTGCCATACTTGATTTCCATATCGTCAATTTAAATTTCAGAAATGTAGTTATTCTTGATATCTTCCATTTTCTGAAAATATATTTCTCCAAATTTTTCATTTTTGCCCATTCTCTCAGTACAGTGGAGTACAGTGGACTCGTCTAAGGGCATTGTTTTCACTTTCTGGTAGGACGAAACCTTTTTTCCTACAATTTACATAATAAAACAGTATTGGGTGGAATTCAGTTCTTTTACTGAAATTTCTGTGAACTACCCATTCAAAGGAGTTGTTAGTTAAAACTGGTCCATGCCATGGTCCAGTGATGAATTTTCTACTTAAATTGATGGATGTAGCCACTACTACATGGAAGGAAATCATAATGAAGAAAAGAGAAATGAAACTTTCTATGTTTATTGTATAAGTGTGAAAATGTCCGTATAGGACGAAACTGCAGTAACGTTAGTTACAAATAAAAGTAGTAAAAAACATAGAAAGTTTCATTTCTTTTTTCTTCTTCAATTTTCTACTTATTAACAATGATTGCTTGTCTTGCCCAGTACGAATTTTTGGTTGTATGCCAGTCAATGATTTCATTTTACTATTGACATAGTTATAAACTGACTACATTTCTTTCACATCTAATGCCATTCATTGGATGGTTCGAACATATCACAAATAAATGGAGTTGTTATTTGCTGACTTGGAACCTGGAACCAATCTGAAAAGTTACAATTCTCGAATCTTCCTGTCATTTTGTTTGATTGTTGATCCTCTGAATGCACAAGGGTTTCCGTGGGCTCTGAAAATATAATTGATTTGTTTAATCTTCATTGATTAGTGTTACTTACAGTGAATGCATCACCCAAAAGAGCTTACGAGTATGTTGTAAATTTTGTTTTACCATTCGAAATCGCGACAGGTAACCCTTTCACAAAAACTTGTTCACTAGATAAAATATGAGTTTGTCTCAATCTCTTCTTTTTTATTGTTGGCAGAAGATGCATTGTCTTTATGCAGCAGTTCCTAATGTTATTGTTATTGATTTGAATGTACAAGATTCCAACTATGATTGATTCATATCTGAAGTTGTTCAATACTTTTCTTTTAGTCCCCTAGATTCAGAAATCTGTGGTACTTGAGGCTGACTTGCGCCATTATCTCTGGGATCTAACCATGAAGAAAACGAGTTGTGTATAATATTTTTCCGTTGTGTTCTATTCATCTCAAGTTATATATTGGCAATTGGCTCAACTCTTGGAATTATATCACATAAATGTTCATATTTTTCCAAAGTTACACATTCATCATTTTCTGTAATCGAGAACTATATCTACATTTTGAGGAAGTATAAGCAAAGCTTGAGTAATTTTATTGGCATTACCTCTGACACACTTTTGTAATATATTTCGGTTTTCATCTTTCGAGTAACCATACAAAGTGTATGAGTTTTTGAATTGATGAATGAAATTTGGCCATTCAATGAAAGAGAAACATTCTGCCTGTGAAAAAAATGGGTTATCTTTGTAACAACCTATCGACAAGTGAACTTGTGCTATTCTTTTTCAAAAAACAGATTAAAGCTGATGCTATTTTATTTCAGAGTGCCTGCACGTTTTTTTACATCTACATGCTTTCAAACCTAGGAGAAAAAATCGCATTCAAGCTGAAAACTGACTTATTTTCTTCCATAATGCACCAAGACATAGCATTTTTTGATCAACAAAGAACTGGAGAGATAATAAATAGGTAACTAGCAACCTTCAGGTATTCAGGTGGGTTTTTTCAATATATTTATACAACAGCTTCAAAAAGCAATTGTGATCATTTCTTTTGGTAAAATTTCAGGCTGACTTCTGATGTCCAGGACTTCAAAAGTAGTTTTAAACAAACTGTTTCTGGAGGCTTGAGGGCCATTACGCAAATCCTTGGATGTGCTGTTTCGCTTGTTATGATATCGCCTGAAATGACATTTGTTACACTTTTGTGTGTTCCTACTGTGGTTGGCATTGGAACTATATTCGGATCATTACTCAGATCAACGTCAAGGAAAGCCCAAGCACAGGTAATTGGAAAGTGTAATGATCCTGAAGAAACTCAAAAATAAACATAAAATTAATTAGAATTTGGTTAGGCCAACCGTAAAATATCAACCTATCTGGGAATAAACTGTGAAAATAATCATTTCGTGAACTAATGTCATTAATGAATGCTTAGGAAGAATGAATGGTTCAAGGGGGTACTTCAATTCTTATTTTTTGAGCCAGGATATAATGATAAGATAAGCTGGTGTCAGGAAACGGGACAAATACAGTTCGTAGAAGAAAAGAATGCCCAAATGCACATGCATCATCAATAAAATAAAACACATACTGAGAATTCATTCAATCAGAGAGCTCTCACAATTACAGCTTGCATGTATTACATTGAAGACAGAAAGCTGAACAAACGGAAATTTCTTTCTTTGATTTTCAGAGCATCTGACAGTTTACATTGATTACATGTGGTTTATTCAGAAGTTTTGCAGTTTCAATTCTTTCATAGTCCACATATAACAAAACTCAAAACTAGTAAACTGTGGGCACTTTATTTCAAAGTAGGTAAATTTTATATTGTACTTGTGATGCACTGTTTGGAACCTTTGGCGTAATAATGAATATAACTGGAGTTTTATCCCAACACCAAATCGTTATTTCAACACCTCGGACACGTGTTTCGATCACCAAGTGATCATCATCAAGAGGAAGATTGAACTAAATATACATACAATGTTATCCTTATTTATATCATAGATACCCTTGCTAGATACCTGTGTCTTAATTGTCTTGAATGAATTTTACAATTTTGCCTTATCTAATATCTGATGATTGAAATATTATTTCAGCAACCTATATTTCAAATTCAATCCTCACCATTGGGATCTCGGAAACTATGAGGGATACGAAAAGATACGAAATTGGGGCAAAGTTGCCAATTTACCTGAATAACAATATGCTGTTGAGAAAGTTCTGAAAGTTCTGAGAGTATATCCGGAGATATCCGGAAAAAACAGAAATTTCGGAAAATGGTTTTTCTTTTATCTGGCTCTATTTTTTGAAGTATTCGAAAATAAATTGCACTTCCATATTTCCACTTTTTCCCTGCTACATAATGGTGTTTTCAGATTTGCTTTTCGACGTTTCGTCTTCTGGCCACCATCATCAACTTTATTTTTGGATAGAACTAGATTTTACCTTTTCAATGATGTATCATAAGTTATCATTCTTTTTCGAAAAATTGGAGATACTGAAAAAAAAATCATTCTTATAATAGGCTTTGACTTTGATGTTTGTAAATTTGACTTTCGATTTGTTACACTCAATGACATTTTGTTATTGTACAAGTCATTGAATTTTTAGTGAAAAATGGCTTTCACGAATGAAAAAAAAAAAAGATATGATACAAATTTATTAGAAATACGATAGAAACAGTGTTAGGACATGGAAAATGTATTTCAACTTGTATCCCGAAAGAAGACAACCACATCGAACTATGTTCAAGTTATTTGATCAAAATTTCACCTACACTACAATGAACTGTAATTTGGGGTTGTTCAAATATTTCTTGTGATTTGTCTATAGGTATATCACTTATTACATCAATAATATTTTTTTTAAGGAACATTAAAAAACTAAGTTGCCGTAGTATTTTGTCATATAGATGGTCCATAATATATATATTCCCCAATGATTGAGAAACTGTTGCACCCATTGGTGTTTTTTGAATTTGTTTGTAATAAGTTCCTTTAACAGAAAAATACATTTCATTAGGAATGATTAAGTTTTTTTCAAGAAATTCACTTTGGTTAGTTTGACGATTCTGATTTATTCCATTCCGTTATTATTTCTTCAATTAGTTCTTGGAGAATGTTATGATAAAGAAAGACTACATCGAGAAATGTCAGATTTTGACACAAGAAGTGCCTTGTTGAAAGGTATCGAAATCTTCATCTTCGTGTTTGATTTGTAACTGTGTACTTGTGACTTACCCTTCAGTCAAGTAGTGTACAGCTACCAGCATATTGTGAAATCTAAAAAATAACACACTCGAAAAATCAGGATCATTCACAACAGAGTTGCAACTTACAGTTCAAATCAGCTGAGTTGACATGGCAAGGCAAAGTTACCTGCGATACCCTTAGCTTGAGAGTGAACTTATTTTTCAACCACAATTATAGTTATAACTTTAATATTTCGTGATAGTTTCGTCTGGTTACTTCTGCTTCTTGTTAGCAGGACTTTGTTGCTATCTTCATAGACATTTGTAATTTCTAGGTGGAAAAAACAACTGCGGTCGCTGAAGAAGCTGTGTCTAACATACGAACTGTACGAGCTTTTGCAATGGAGGACCAAGAGCAAGAGTTATTCACCAGCGAGGCTCAACAGGCGATGGAGCTCAATCAAAGCTTGGGATTTGGAATCGGGTTATTCCAAGCAGGAACCAATATGTTCATAAACGGGTACAGTTGCTACAATGACAATTTTTATGCAGTGACTAGTCAGTAAAATATTAGGTATAATTTCAATTCGTTCATATTTAGTGATACATGAACTGAATTTTCAATGAAAATGCAATTTCCCCATGGCACTAATGCGACAGATATCAATTAAAATCAATAAACAAATGTATTGTCAGTTGGCAAAATTTGCTCTGAGGATAGTGTTTTCACAGTTTTTGTTTATCTATGAAGTAATTTCATTAAATTTTGCTGATGCTAAAGACTGTTTCATATTATAATGCATGATCTACACATATTTGTCAATAGCTTTTATTAAAGTCAGATTTCTTTCTTTTGAATAATGAAAGCTTAAAAGTTTTTCTTAAAATTATTTTTTTATAACTTCTACAATTTATTGAATGATAAAAAATCGTGGGAGTAGATTTTCTTTCTGGGTCTTCTTATTCGGCGAAGTGAATATTTGCAAATTTAAAAAATATCTAATAGAAACATGCACAATAAAATTGTTCTATATTTACCTTGGCCCCACAGTTGATAGACTTTCTGCAGAATAAATTGAATCAATATTTCACCTTTTCCGTTCACTGCGTATTTGCCATTAAACACTTGATCAATCTTTCATTTTAACTACTGCTGTCGAGTATTTGACAGCCGTTCTTTGACATTTCACTCAATACTATCTTCTCTAACATAATTTTTTTTATGTAAACGTTTTTATGAAGCTAGATCTCTCTCTCTCTCTCTCTGTATGTTGATGGCTTTTGCTTCCATCGAGGCGCATTAACCTAGTTTCAAATGATTTGTTTTGTGTGATTCAATGTTCGAGTGAAAGAAGTTTGTTACTGAAAGAAACTTCTATGCATGTCATCACATCTTTGTAAAGAGTTTATTTTGGACTTACTTTTTACCTTTCTTCGGAAGTTTGACACATCATTTTGTATAAAGATGAAGAAGAAAAGCCAAAAAATGTTTTCCCAAAAAATATATCTCTCCTTAAAAATATCCCCCATTCAATTTCACAAAAATATTATCCCCTAGTTTCTTGTTTGTAATAATACTTTTTTTTTTAATATTTCAAGCACATAACTTTTCAAAATTGTTACAGAAGTCTAATTATAACTAATTCAACCACATATTTTTCAAGTGGAATCATATATTGGCTTCTCTGATATTTACTGAATTCATTCAAGGATGAATATGTGTTATCATCCGTTTTTAGATTCTTTTGGTAAAATAGAATATAAGGTTTTTTACAGCTATTTATTACAGAAGATGTAGATATAGAATACAGATATAGAAATCTTGTAGAAATATTTTATGAAAAACATTACAAAAATTCATGATGTGTAACTCAAAAGTTACAGGATTTCACTAAGCTCATCCTGTAGAAATCACACTTGATGTTGATAAATGATCACTTGAATGAAATGAATTAAACACTTTTGTCTGAATACCACTGGTACATTTTATTTATATGACCGGTTTCGGGTTTGACATTATCAAGTATAAAACTGAAATCTGAATTTTGAAATATCGATTTTATTAGAATTTTCAGGTATGCTGCAAGGATAGGTATTTGAGAGTTAGGATGCAGCATACCTGAAAATTCTAATAAAATCGATATTTCAAAATTCTGATTTCAGTTTTATACTTGATAATGGGGTCAAACCTGTAACCGGTCATATAAATAAAATTTATCAGTGGTATTTAGACAAAAGTTTTTTATTCATTTCATTCAAGTGATCATGAATTATCATAAAGAAAACAAGTCATCAATCACACATATTGATAAATGATACCAGTAAAATTGAATTTATGCGCTTGTGCTTTTTCCACTCTGCATAACACATTGCACAAAATGAAACTTTTCCCAACTGGTTACATAAATAAGTATCATTGAACTAAAAAAATTCTCATTATTTTCATTTCAGTATGGTTTTATCGACACTATATATGGGAGGCTATCTTTTGTCAACGAATAAATTGTCAGCCGGTGAAGTCATGGCCTACCTGATGGCATCACAGACAATACAGCGTTCTTTAGGTCAAATATCACTGTTGTTTGGCTCAGTGGTTCGAGGGGTAGCAGCTGGTGCTAGAATTTTTGAGGTAACTGCATCTGATACAGAACAAAATATGGTGGTAATTAAATATTTTTTCTGCAGTTCATCAATTTGGAACCCACCATGGCGTTGAAAGGAGGAGAGATTATCCCGGACAATTTGTTGAAAGGGGATATAGTGTTCAAGAATGTCTGCTTTGCCTACCCAACTAGAAAAGAGCAAGTGAGTATTGAATTGATAATAATTCACTAACGGAATTGCTATTGTTTTAAACGGTTGTTCAATTTACCTATTTCTTTTTACAAAACTTCATATTTCATTGATTTGAGGATCCACCTCACAAAAACTCATCCGAATTTGAACAAGGCAACCAAGAATCCTCATCAAGAATGTTTCCTACCCATTAGATGAGGAAAAATGTTCAAACCTCCTCAGCTGCATCTGTAAGATGAATGTATCAAAGAAAATACCAAAGGCCATATTATCGACTTTATCTCTCTCAGATGTCATTTATGACTCTTTGAAATATAACACTATTACTTTTTCTGATGCTATTATTTATGGTGATCGATATTCTACAGCTAAGACTATAGGATCTTAAAAAAGAAACTATGACGTTGACGAAATTTGTCTACTCAAATGGCTAACTTCTACTTTGTATGAAGTATTCATTGAGCATTCCTTCTTTCTGGACTAGAAAGTAAATTAATGGTTATTATGGAAAATTCATTTCTTCAATAATACTTCGTTTTTCTCCAGACTACACCAACTATGCAATGAAATACATAATTATCAAGAAAATGGACTTTTCCGTCTTCAGAAATGGTTGCTTTAGAATCATCTGCGACAAATTTGGCCGGAATGGCGGCAGCCGAGCTTAAAAAAAAATGAAATTTTGATGCGAATAAAAATGTGCGACAAAGAGGTCCAAGCAAATTTTCCTTAGACTAGTAAATACTGGTCATTATTTTGAAGCAGTGAATCTTAGATGTTAGAACTGACATAATGTGCTACTACGTATCAATACTAATTGTCAATATATTGCAATAAAAAGTTTCGAATTTTTTTTGTGTGACTGTGTGATTCTGTGATTGATGGAACTCTCAAAGCCTCATTCGATTTTATTGGTGACTGTGGCTGTGAAAAATCACTAGTATATCGTTGTGCTTCTCCATTATACGAACAAGTAGCATTTTCATTTTCTTTCTCCTGAAGGATGCATTGTGTTCAGCGGCAATGCTCCGTCCTCCTCTATCGTCCAGTTTGCTCAAACCTCCTCACTGTCTTGAAAATTTTGTTTTTTAAGGTTTGTCTTTCGTCAGTAAGGTCAAATTTTTTGCACCCTACCATATATTCCAATTATCGACATATCTTTTTATACCTGCCAACCTAATAGTTGATAGGAAAACAGACAATTAAACGTTTGAAAATTTTATAGGCTCTTTACTTTCGACGTATATGAATTTTGTTCATCAAACTAATTAGTATAATGTTTTGAAAGGGGTATTTTTCAATTTTTAATCAGTCATAGTCTGGCCAAAATTTTTCAGTCAATCTACTCAGGATTCATTCTTTAACCTACTAAATTTCAAATAAAATACTTTTTATCCTAGTAATCGTCTGGCGTGGGCGTTATCAAATTTCAAACGTCATCTATGGTTTTATTTCCTGATGATGATAAAAACTTTTCACACACATGGCTTTATAATAACCTAATTTAACCTTTCCAAGCTCAAACATAATGTGTACCATTAAATGGCCATCAGATTACTGCCTCACATCGAAGTTCCCAATCTGACTTCTGTCAATGCTAGGTGTTGTGATTCTAACCTGTGCTGACAACTTAACATAATGAATATAAAAAAAAAATCCTACATTATCAAATGAACAAATTGATGAAGATTGTCTCTAATTCCGACCTTCTACTAGTTGTTCATTAACAAATCATTCCAGATTACTTCTGCTTTAATCAGTTCTTGATACCATTTGTATGTTCCGCTAAGCAAGTTAGAACCGAGTTCCTGGGTTTGTAACTGGATGTGTACAAAATTCTGTTAATAAATAAATGAATCACACATATTTATTCATTATTTACTATATACATGTTTACAATACACCATGAACCGGGTCTTCAACACCATATATCTGTATCTGTATAGTTTTTATTTATAATGAAATATTTTCCAATCTGAATGAAATTTTTCTAAATGAATAAATATTATCATTTGTAATTATATAAGGTATGTCGATTTATATTTCCAGGTCATTCTTCAAGATTTCAATCTGACGGTACCATCTGGTAAAACTATAGCCATAGTAGGTGCATCTGGTAATGGCAAGTCCACGATTGTTGCTCTTCTTGAAAGGTAATTACATTGTGTTTTTAAGTATTACTTCAAGTTTTCAATCATATTTTATATTTGTATAAAAAAATTCTTGAATATGATACTTTTGAAGAAAGAAACATCTAATTATATTACATTACATTGATACAGATGGCTCAAAAACCAAAGAAGGTTCAGGATGTGGAGTGTACTCCAGATCACTAAGCCTAAGGATCACCGCTGGAAAGAAATACCAGCGTGGTCCAAACAGAACTGGCTGGTATCTCAATCGCCACAAAAGAAATAACCAAGAAAAGAATTTCGGGCAAAAACATAACAATCTGCACTGATAGCAGACAAGCACTATTAGCCTTGAACAGACACCGTGTTACTTCAGGGCTAGCACTAGAGTGCCACCAAGATTTAGCCAAAGCCTCGGTAGATAATAACATTATCCTGAGGTGGATTAAAGGGCACGAAAGGAGTAAAGGTAATCGCATTGCCGACTCTTTAGCCAAGGAAGCGGCTGGACTAAGAATTTTAGGACCAAGTGGCACCCACGGCCTGATGACTTCGACAATTGCGGAACTAGTCAAATGTTACACCCATGCTCAATCTTTAAAGAGATGGGATGAAATCAAAGGATGTAATCTTGCCAGGATCACCTTGGGCGACCCTGGGAAGCTGGCGCCGAAGAAATATCTGGCGATGACCAGGAAAAATCTACGCCTTACAGTAGGATTTCTGACTGGCCACTGTCAGCTAAGGAAACACCTACATAATATGGGGCTAGTGGACACACCTCTATGCAGGATGTGTGAACAGGAAGATGAGACTGTCAGGCATGTCTTGTGCGAGTGCCCGGAGTTATCGTCAATAAGAGAGTGTGTGTTCGGCGAGTCTTGGCCTACACCTGCCGATATAAAGGAGATGTCTCCCAGCGACCTGTCCACCTTCCTGGAAAGGACAGGATGGACGACGACCTAGGAGGACAACTCCTTGGGAGGATGTACAATGGGTCACATGTGGCCTAAGTGCTAGGCTTACACTCACCCTCCCTACTCTACAGATACAGATACAGATACATTGATAATGTTCTGCTAAAACGTTTACTTAGGACAATAAATTGATGGATGTAGCCATTACTACGTGGTAGGATATCATCATGAAAAATGAGAAGTGAATCTTTCTATGTTTTTTTAACAATTTGTATTTGTAACTAACGTTACTGCAGTTTCGTCCTATAAGGACATTTTCAAACTTATACATTACAGTTTAATGTATTTTATTTGTAACTAACGTTACTGCAGTTTCGTCCTATAAGGACATTTTCAAACGTATTATTGTACTCTTTTGAAAATGTCCTGCAGTAACAACGATAGTTACAAATAGAAGTGGTAAAAAACAATTAGAACAATTATTTCAAATCATTTTATTGAATTATACTGTACATTTCTCCTAGATAATATGAAACAGAACAAATGTTGTGAGATGTTTCATTATTTGTGAAGTGTCTATAATACCTGTACATAATTTCGTAGTTACAACCTAGTAAACATCGGCTACCCATCTTGATAATATTGGGATATCCTTTTATTTATGTGTTGGTGTAGTCTGAAATAAAAATGAAGTATCAATAAAGAAATATATTTTCTGGATAGATTTGAAGGATTGCTAATGGAAAATCAATTCAGAAAGTTTAATCCACTAACCTTCAATACATCTTGATGTTCATGATGAGAGAAACTTTGCAATAACAAATTTATTCATTCATTTTTTCCTTTTTGTTGTGTGAGTGGCTCTTTTTGTCAGCAACATGTCGGAGCTGAGGAGATTTCCGTTTTGGTTGGGAAGCTAAAATGTTTCTCATCGTTTTAGTGGAAGCTTCTCCTTTACAGGAGGTGAGTTAATTTTATAATTAATGCCCGGAACCAATATTTCAACCAGGATCAATTTCTATAGATCTGAAAGCTTCCATTGAGTCAAGGACAAGGACAAACGTTTCGTATTCTCAAGTGGCACAATATAATCTAACCGCCAAATTGGTGTCTTCATGAATCTTTTAAAACGTTCCTGTTGCTTCCCATCAGTTTTTGGAAAAAAACCCATGAAAAATCCCACCAAACAACAGAATCATTTCAGCTTTTGATACTTTAGACTACATACATACATATATACAATGGCTTCTTCGGGCGTGTCTTTACATTAACACTGTATTTGAAAATGAATCAATTTTCGCACTAATAATTTGACTGAAGACGTGTTTCACTACAGTAGCTTTCTCTGTTGAACTGATGAAGCTGCTGTGTAGCAAACCACCAATTCCTTTTTTAGTATTTTTTATATTCCATTTTTTATATCTATATATGACTATGTGGTCGAAATTATAATTTTTATTTTGTTTTTTTCATAAGAACCTACTGCAGCAGCAATGGCATCGATTCATTCATTTGTTACTTAACATAATTGTTGAGTATCAATGAACGTGGACTGTATTTCCTGTGACATGAATTTGAATGTTCCCCTTTTGCGTGCTTTTGGTAAATAGAGAGAGCAAATATTTAAAATTGAAACTAATTAATACAGTTCATTGTATGATTTTTACTAAAAAAGGGTTTTCCAAAAACCGCGACACTAGTTTCGCTATACAATAGCTTCCTTAAGCGTAAACTAAAAGTTACTTCTAAATTACAACCATTTTATACTCTAACATATTACCTGTTTGTATGCCTACTTTCTAATGAATGAATCTACCTGAAAAGGTCAGGTATGAATTCATTAACTATATGAATGAATTTTTCAAAAGTACTGTAAATATACTTAACTATTTTTGCCTGGAGATGAACAGATTCAATAATGGCAAATTATTCAATTCAGTTTGATTATTCATAAGATATTGAGGGTTTTTGAATTTGTTTATTTCCATACTCTCAAACAGGTTAAGCAGTTTCAAACCTTTTTTCTGAAAATGGAGGGGCTTGTATTCATGGTTGAACTCATGTCTCGTTGTGATTAAATGAGTGGCAAATTTCGAATTTTTTTTTCCATAATGGAAACAATTTTTAAGTTCTTTTATGCGAGCTTTAAATGTTCTTCCAGTTTGACCTATATAAAACATCGGACATGATCCACATGATGATTTATATACTCCTGATTTTTCTCAAACTAAACTTTTATCTTTGTTATACCTAATGTGCACGCCTAAGTTGTTGTTGGTTTTGTTGTGAAGAGAATCTGGAATATTTGTAGTGGGTTGGCTTAAGTAGGTTAAGGTTCTATAACTTTTATCGTCTTCCCTTGGAATTGGGTAAACTTCCTTCAAAGCTTGGTCATATAACTTTTTTGATAATAAAGAATGTATTAGAGTGCTATCATAATCATTGTTCAGTTCTTTATGGAAAACAAATATCTTATGAACGATCAAACTGAATTCAATAATTCGCCATTATTGAATCTGTTCATTTACAGGTAAAAAAAGTATATTTACCATACTTTTGAAAAATGTATTCATATAGTTAGTGAATTCATACCTGACGTTTTCAGGTAGATTCATTAATTAGAAAGTAGGCATACGAGTAGGTAATATGTTGGTTGTAATTTAGAAGTAACTTTTAGTTTACGCTTGAGGAATCTATTGTATAGTTGAACATGTGTCGTAGTTTTTGTAAAACCCATTTATAGTGAAAATCATACAATAAACTGTAGTAATTAGTTTTAATATGGATTTTCATGAAGTATCGGGCAGTTCTATTCAATTTTAAATTGAATCGAACTGTGCTTACCTTGAGAATTTCAGCGACTGGCCTCAAATCCTGTCAGTTTTTACCGCAACACCCATTTTATGCATCACTTGGACAGCTTCTTTTGCACTCATGACCGTTTTCGTATACGGGGGTTGCGCGATATATTCACAAATGGAGGCAAGCACAGTAATATCGTGATCTGAATATTACAAATGAATACAAACTAAAATACTTGCAGAAAATACCAGGGCAAAAAAATATAAAAATAATAGTAAATTAAAATTTTATTCAAACGAGAGGTAAAGACGGAACAAACCGCCCACCTAAATGCAGTGACATTTTAATTTAATTATTGTGGAGTGGTCAAGGGCAGACCTTCACCACTGAGCACTTCAGCAGTCCTTGAGAGGTACGAACTGTTAAAACACGCACGATTCCGTCTCGGTTAGGATGAATATCAGATACTCTACCTAGTTGCCAATGTGAAGGAGGAATTGATTCATTTTTAATCAAGACAGTAGTTCCGATATCAATATTTGTCATGGGTTTTGTCCATTTCCTTTTCGGGAATGAAGTGTGCAAATATTCTTGATTACACCGGTTTCAAAAATCTCGATGTAGCCTCTGAATTAACTGCCAATGGGAAAGAGTATTTAATTTCAGGAAAGAATAATATTTGTCAGGAAAGGTATTCGAAGGCTCCAATGTCAAAAAATGCTCTAGGTATGGGCGGAAAGATCATTGGAATCGGTAATAGTGGAACAAAGGGGCCCCGAATTCAGAAGGGCCTCGATCTGAACCAACACGGTGTTGAATTCTTCATATGTGAGAATTTGATTACTAGTGACCCGAGAAATATAAGCTTTCACTGATTTTATTCCATTTACCCACAATCCGCCAAAATGGGGACTAGAAGGTGGAATAAACTCTTATTGAATATATTCCTGGTCCGCAGCGTTTTGCATACAATAAAAAATATATCTAGCAGAACCTTCAAAATTAATTGTGCTATCACTATAAATGACATAGTTTTCGAACCACGAAATCTCTCCAACGAAATGGTCAATAGATCTCCAAAAAATCTATGCCAATGGATGAGAAAGGTTTGAGTTGAGAGATTCTTAAAGTTGGGCTATTACCGATGGGGGTTAATAACAGGTAGGAGATATTGTTTCCAATTGAAGAGACTCCCAGAGAACTTAACTTATAAACAAAAAATGCAGATTTTGATAAACTGGATCGAGAAATTGATTATGAGTATGAGAAAGTATTATACATAAGAGTGGTCGTTTGCATGACTTTTTTTAAAGATTCTTGCAAAACTTGGTACAGAAGATATGAGTCATGTTTTTTTCACCACTATTCAAGAATGGGCATCGGGATGTCTTCTGTTTTATAGATACTTTATTGACAATTGTTCGACGTGCGGGTATCTGCTGAATAATTTTCTTGAGATGTTCGGCTTTGATGTTGTCTAGCCGTGGATACTTTATTTTTGTCGTTTTTTGTTATTTCTGTATTTGTTTTGGTTCTATTTAGCATGAAAAATGACTTACATTTTTGGGTTTTAAGAAGTTCATATTACACTTTCTTACAATTTTATTTGTCAAATTACTATCAATAATATTGAAAAAAATCATTCAAAGATCAACCGAAAATATTTTTATATTTGTTATAATTGTGTTAATTTTTAACAGATTGATTTTGTTTAATTTCTCGATGGAGGTCTGACTTTCTTTCTGCTGATTCAATCATTGACTTTGTAACAAAAAATTTATTTTTATCTGTGATCTTTTAAGATTGATTTTTTTTTCTTCTGAGTTATTGAATAATTGCCATTCAGTATAACGAAAACAAAAATTCATTCCCCTTCTTTATTAGTAACAAAACTTCAATCTACAGAACACAGTGTTTGAACACCATTGTGAACTAGACTTCTTTCGGACCGTCATTGGCATTCCTTGCTTCAACAACTGACAACTTCAATCTTCTTCTGTGAACAAAATTATAATATTTATATGGGCAAAATAATTCTTGATTTTTATGAACATAAATCTCTAGAAGGTCATAGTATTGATGTTTCATAAAGAAACCATAAGAATAGGAGCTTAAAGGATATGTATTTGGTTTATGATGATACTTTGATGATGATGCTTTCTGAAATGTAGCAGAGGTTCCTGAATAAAGTAGATTATAGCAGACAGTCTGAATGATTTATTGATTTCTATACCAAAACCATCACAAAGAAAGTTTCCTTGAGTAGAATAACTTATTGAAGAAATTTTTTGTAGTTTGGATAGATAGTCCCTTGAACTGGTCAAAACATATACATGCTTCAACTGGAAAATTAGCAGTGGCAGTTATTGCTATAAAGAAGTAAGAGATTTTGTTGGCCAACAAGCATACTTAACACCACGTTCCATCAACTTATATTTTACGGAAATCAAAACGTGTCTGAAGTCTGTATCGACAAGAGTTACATACATACAAGAAAATGAATATTTAGAAATAAAATTTGAAACATTTATCTCATCCAACTACTTACAAAGTAGGTTCTGGTAAATGCTTGCCGGAAAACCATTACTTACCCGGCTAATACCACACTGGATATTGAATTATATCCGATAGACATTAATGCAAGATATCTCAATGAGGTTGGTCTCGCAGATGTTTCTCGTTTATCCTGCAACAGGACGATGCTGAAATTATTCGAGTAGATCATCTACAGGCCGGTTTCAAGGTATTACCTCTCATCAGTGCAGAAAAGATTCGACCCAGACAGCAAAGTGCCTGTGACTCGATTAATTTCAACGCGGCTCCGCTGTATATAAACCTTCGTCTAAGAAAAAGATTGTTAACAAGTAACAGCTCCATATCATGAATAAAGCCCCAAGCAGAAGAAACATCCCATTTACCAATACTCTATCTAACAAAGATCAAAACGTGTCTGAAGACTGAATCGAGGAAATATCATAATATGTGCAACATACCTATATATTGGGGTGTGGTCCAGGGATGACAGCTATATATATTATGGAGTGTTGTCCTGGGATGACAGCTCAAATTCATTTCAAGAAAATATTCATTTCACAAAAGGCAGAATTATAAAAGCTAAGTGGGACTCAAGCTATAAACAAATTTTTCCAACCCTAAAAATAACGACCTCATATGAATTAATTGTATACCTACCAGAAAGTATTGAACATTAGCTAGCACAACACATGAAAAAACAGGCAAGATAGATATCCACCCATTTATTAGTTTGCCACCTCAATTCCACAACTTACTGTTTACCCGTTACCAAAACAGATTTGAAACATTTCTTGATGTACAGTATGGATGAGCCAGAATAAATGTGCGTTTTTGTTTTATTTTTTAATCTGTTCTGTCTGTTTAAAATCTGTTTTTCCGTTAACCAGCTGTCGAACCCCTACGATAGCAAGTGAAAATCGATCGTTCAGCCTGGGGACTGAACCACCGACCAACACAGCGGTCGATTTGAGCGAGTGAACAAAGCACCCACGTCTAATCGACCGGCTACCGACCGACCGTAATGATATAATCTTATATATCAATATAACTAAATAAATATCATTATCATCATTATTAGGATAATGTTAAGTTATGTCTAATACTTTTGAATCTTTTATTATTTACTTAGGTTTTATGATGTCAACGAAGGATCCATTACATTGGATGGAAACAATATTAAAAATTTGGACCCTTCGTGGTTGAGAAACAGAGCCCTAGGTTTGATTAGTCAAGAACCTATATTGTTTGGGACATCAATCATGGAAAATATTCGATATGGGAAACCTAGTGCTACAGATGAAGAGGTATGTTTTATATATTTGAATTATCTTATTTGAACATTCAGATTTCATGCATTTTCCAAAAAATGACAGGTTTGGTAAAATCAATTTGGAAACCGTTTTAGTTTAGTTCTTTAATGATTTTGATAGAGAATTTGTTTTTGTCTGTGCTAGTAATTGCACTCTAAACATAAGAAATTGATTCTTAACTGGAAACAAGTTTCGACTTCTGAGGGTTTTCGTTTTTCATAACAAGGTTCTTGGATGGATGTAGCCGTTACTACGTGGTGGGAGATTATCATTTATTTGGAATCCTTAGAAATTCATGAAAATGAGCATTGCAGATGTAATCTGCTTAATGATCAAATCGATCTAGTTTACTAACCAGTTTTCAAATAAGCGTATCCACATTGTCACAGGTAAACACATTTCAGGTACTCAATTAAGTTAAGGACCTCTATTATAACCTACAGTAGATATAACAGGGCTAACATTATGATAAATTCTCAGTTTATTAAAATTCTCTGTACAACCACCTTCACTGTTTTGAATTTGAATAACCGGTTGAGGAGTTATTAATGTATGAATTGGAGACTGGGAAAAAATGGTAACTCGTAACTTTGCTACCAATAGAAGATTGAAACGGCTCCAAAGTTAGTTATCGTAGGTTACACGAAGTTTGTAAGAAAAAGACATTGTTTACGGAAATGAATCATACTTAGAATAAAATTGAACCCAAATGTTTGACAAAAAAGAACATTTGGTTTTAATCTGATTCAGGATTGTTTTGTGTTCGACTACTTAGATAAGAATTCGCATCGTGTTGCCCCAATAACAGAGAGTTCACTTCATTTGAATTTTCAAAAATGGTTCGCGCCAGATGTTTAGAGGAAAAAACAGAATCAGTCCTTATTCACGCCAAGGCGGAAAGTAATTTTCATGACCCTGATAGAAGAATACAGTTTTGTGACTTAATGTTAGTGACGAATGCACTTTTTTTGTAAACGAAAATGTAAACCGCCAAAATGTGCGATGTTGGTCAGACATAAACACACATATTTTTCGAGGTCACACTCTAACTCCTGAGAAAATAGATGTCTAGGCGGGAATATTGGGAAATCATATTGTTGGTGCTATATACCTAGAAAAAAATCTGACAGTCAAAACCTCATGCACCCACGGATTCATGAAACTGTGGCCATCAATCAAAATGGATTCAAAAATTCAGTTTTGTTCCAACAAGATGGTGCGCCTCCATATTTTTTTTAGGCCTGTAAGGGATTGGTTGTATCAGGCATGTAGCGATGTGTTGAAATGGTCCTCTCGTTCATCGGATTTGACTGCACTGGATTTTTTCCTTTGGAGCTATATTCAATCGAAAGTTTATGTTAGTAACTTGGGAAAAAGGGAAACTTAAAGACAGAATTACTGAAATTTGTGCTAGCAGTAGCCCAGAAATAATCTAAAATGTTAGAAATGAGTTCGAAAATTTATGTTATTACTGTCAGGGGGTTTAAGAACATTTTAAACATTTTCTCAAATAATTTTTCATATATGTGATGAATGATAACAAGGTTATAATAAAATGCTATCGTTTTATGCCCTTGAAATGAACATTCATCTATTGTATTTATTTTTATCAAGTGATCTACGGTATTAGCAAAACGCCTCTAGAATTGAAAATGTTTCTGTGGAATTATTATCATGGATAGTGTTATTAATTTTCATCACGTAACGGGTCAGTCCATTTATTATTGTAAAATATGTTACTGACTAATTTCTCTTTCCAAAGAACATAATGAGTCGATGGATTTGATTCAATTCAAAGATTGTTTTCTTCTTTTCATTCATTAATTTCAGTGAGTGCATCATTCTTGTATGGTCGGTTCCCACCACATTTATTTGAGCATTACCAAACTATCTGTAACCTTTGCCAAGTTATAACTCTTTAAAATTGGTATGGCGGCCATTTTGTTTATCGCATAAAAAACATAGTCCACACCTAGCAAACTCTCATTGTACTTATTCACTAACATCCTGTATATATTAATTATCTATCATTTGAACTTGAAGATATTTTTTTCTCTCTCAGTTATTTAAATGAAAATTTTATATTCCAGGTAAGACAAGCAGCCTCTCTTGCAAACGCCGACGATTTTGTTTCTAATTTTCCTCGTGGATATAACACTCTTGTCGGGGAAAGAGGAGTAACACTGTCTGGTGGTCAGAAACAGAGAATTGCAATAGCTCGAGCTCTTTTGAAGAATCCGTCAGTTTTATTGTTAGACGAGGCGACAAGGTACCGTCTAAAAATTGTGAATTTATAAAAATAAAAGTGTTAACATTTCAGTGCTTTGGATACTGAATCTGAGAAAATAGTTCAGGTTGCTTTGGAAAGAGCTAGGAGTGGAAGGACTGTCATTGTGATTGCCCACAGGTTATCTACAATAAGAAACGCAGATTTGATCGTGGTTTTGAACAAGGGAAAAATTGTGGAGGTATGTAGTAAGGTTGAATTAGTAGGTGCATGAGTAATCAATGTGTTTTACAGATGGGAACTCACGAACAGTTGACAAAGTTGGGAGGTTACTATTGGTCACTAGCTTACCAACAACAAAATAGTCCAGCTGCCTAGGCTGTCTGTTCTTCGTCAGTTGTATAGTTAGTTATATCAATTTTAGAATACCAAAATATATTTTTGTTTCCTAAGGTAATGTTTCAATATGAGGAGGAAGATATCTTTATAGGTGATGGCGCAACAAATTAGATCTTTAGAATGAATATATCCATATTACTGTTTTTATGGGTGTATAACCTTCCACATTTTGAAAAATAAACAAATTTAAATCAATAGAGAATCTGCTAAAGTGTAATGAAGAGCAAACTGAAAAGTTCACCTCAACAAGTTACTGTGTAATAGAAACCACTGAAGAGTGCAATTAGTCAGTAATGCGTCATATTAATAAATCTCGCCTATAAATTGAATAATCAATGAAAAATATGAAATTTCTATATTAGCTTTTTTTAATGATCAAAGTTTCAGAAAATAATTATTTTCCACTTTAAAAACCCAAAAAATTAACTTTGTGTCAATTGAGGCGTTGGTCAAAATTTATGAATACGACAAGTTACTGACTAATTGGATTCTTCAGTTGTTTACATAAAGCAGTTTGAACTTCATTACTGAATTATCTGTGTTTATTTCTTAGATTGTTGAAGGTTATACACCAAAAAAAAACAGTAAGAAGCATTGACTTCCCACAAAAAATGTATTTCAAAGAGTATATCCAATTATTATTTGATAATGATTCTTTTATCAATTGGTCTAATTCAGAAACTCCACATGGTAGTTGCTAGAGATACAGCCCCGTACATCTGAGGGGTCCGAAAAGAAAAAAAGCTATACTCTAGGGTAATTTCATAAGATAATTTCATAAGATACACCATTTACTCATGAAATAAATAGGGTAGTATGTGAGAATAATTCAAGATACTATTGGACTGTATTGTTCATCGACATTGTAGAATCAATATTTTTGACAGAAAATTCAACCGAGGCTATGTATTTGTAAATACTGTTGAATCGTATCAGGCATAAGATTATTGCAATAGTTGGGGAAAACCTAAATGAGTTTTCAACTGATGTTACATTTCAGCATGATTGGACTTTTTGTTGTTACAGGCTGGCTCGAGAATGGCTGGATGACAATTATCCAAACCAGTGGATATGCAGACATGGTTCTATAGATTGGCCTGCTAGATCACACATATGACAATAAAATCTAAAGCACACAAAGCAATCTGTTCGAGTACTTATCGAAGGAATAAGAGATGCTTACAATGAACTCCAAATCGAAGCAAATTTGCTCTTAGAACAATTATCTACATGATGTAAAAGATATCATTTATTGATAAACTTGAATGAAACATTATATTCACTGGGCGTCATCAGAGAGATGAAATTATAAATCTGAAAATGGATAATAAACTCATAACTTTAAGGCAGTTAAATGGACAATGATATGAGCTGAAATAATCAAATCAATTGTATATGCTCCAGATTAAATGAACGTTATTTTGCTATTTTGACTCTAAAAAAAATCAAGAATTGAATTCCTTCGAATGATACTATTTTGCGGCTAATCATTCAATATTATAATATGATATAATATCTCTGACTAGATGCGCTGTACAGAAGGAAGAAAACCTAGACGCATTCATAAGCCTCGTTATTGTACAAATCTATTCATTGTGCCTTTTTGTGTATTATTTGATGACACTTATCCACTTATCTATGTAATGGTTTTTAGTTAATGAATGAATTAAATGAAATTACCCTAGAAACATTCCATAATAGAAAGAAATGAATTTGTAAATAGACTTCAAAATTATCAGGAAGTGAATGCTGAACATTTTGGATATTTATATGGGATAAACTAAAGTGGCTTTTGAAGTGGCCTTATGAATTGTAATTATATTTGTCATTTGCAGATTGTTAAAAAATGTTGGTTACTCAGGAACAGCCGGGCCGATTTCGAAAAATTAAAGTTATATTCACACTGTGTTTGTGACGTGTCAAAAAGGTTCGTAAACAAATTGCGGTCACTGCCAAGTCCTGCCCTGCCCGCCCCAATACATTCCCCACCATCTACCTGAGTAGCATTTAGTGCGATTGGTGTTTAAACCACGATGACCAACTGCGACGAGTCGATATTGGGAAGTGCGTTCCGTACAAAGGTGATTTGCCCACAGCGATACAAACTGATGGGTTTTTTTTTGGAAAATCTTGGTTATGATCGGAGTTAGATTGTATTTAGACTATGTTAGCATTGTAAGGGTGTTGCTTCATTTGCTTTGTTAGGATATAGACGAAATTTATGTTGTTTGGGTTCAAGTGAGTTTTGGTATTCGTAAAGAAAACGCACCTCTATGAGTAGTACGAAAGAGATCCGTTGGTAACACCACTCAAAGTGTCACGAAATGGATTTGGAAAGTGGGAGATTTCCGGTTCGGGGACAGTCTTTCGAGAGAGTTGGTGAGAGAAGATCGAAGAAGATTCGTCAGAGTGAACGACAGAAGTCGTTACGCAATATTTCATATCCAAAGATATCTGCAGGTTTCTAAAACCATCCTATGTTAGGGATTATCTGGATTTATTGCTGCGTTATAGTCTTGAGTGAGGCGTTGTGGATTGTGACGACGTCGTTTGATTGTTTCGGAATTTCGGGCAAATTGCTCACTCAGCACCCGATCAGGGGATTACAGCTTCTGACATACCTTTTTCATCGTTTTACCACTCCAGGCTTATTTGAGAGGAACCTTTGTGCAAAGGTTCAGGTCCGAAATTCATCGTTTGGAGGCCGGATTTGCTTCGGAAGCTCTTTTGGAGGACCATATCCCTTTTTGAGAAACTGAGTCCAGGTGCCGAGGTTTACTTGGAGGGCAGGGGTAATTTTCTGAAAGACGTGCGTGCTGTTTTCAGTCCAAGCTTTATTTGGGAGACTGCCGATTCAAGATCCTACCCCTGCACGATATGTTGGAGATTCCAAGATCCAGCTATTCCTGTTCCAGACCCCCCGTTAGGACCACAAATCCATCCGGATTCAGATAAGTGTTTGAACACTGCGCCTCATCAGCGCAGCGCAGCCAAGTGCAAAGATGGGCAACAACACAAATGCACGGAGCCAACAACAGGAGCCAACAGCACATTTGTGGTTCCAGTTAGAAGACCTAGAATTCCCAGGCTACAACTATATCATGCCCACTCGATAAAATCTTCATTTGTATTTATATCCTGGACTCGGATGTCACGCAGGTTGCTATAGCTGCCTACGTGGTCGTGTTAGATGTAGCCTGGGAATTCTAGGTCTTCTAACTGGAACCACATGCGGTTGGCTCCTGTTGTTGACTCCGTGCGTTTGTGTTGTTTCCTGATTTCGGCAAACAAGTGTTGCCAATCTTTGCACTTGGCTGCACCGCACTGATGAGGCCAATAGCCAGAAACACGTGTCCTCGGTTTGCCTCCCTTTTGTGTCCACGAATTGTTTCATTTTTGATAATATAATATAATTTGAAAATATAATAAATATTAATTTGTGAAATATCTGCGGAAAGCAAATAACTACTGAAAGCATACAATTTTGCATAAGGTAACCACTGGTAATCGATCCATTCGCCGTCGTTCGCTCATAATCTGGTGTCTTCATCAAGGTATTACTTTCTGTAAGGTATAATTTTCCCTGCAGTATTTTTTTTCTATTGTATATAGATAGTTCAAACGTTCAGTTTCATACAGTGCGCATCATAAGTGTTACCCCCCCTATCTAACTCGTTACTGGACTATTGTTAGGAAAATCGCCGAGACACGTCGATTTTTAATTGCTACAATGTACATTTGAGTATGAACAGAACTGGAGGGGAGCTACCTTTTTGAAAAATTCAAATAACATGGGGTGGTGAGTGATACCTCATTTGATACCACACCACAAACAGGAAGGCGATTAAACTATCACTATTTCTGTTATTACAGTAAATGTTCCCCGTTGACCTCCTGGCAAAAATATAGTCTATTTTTAGTTTCAGTCCTGACGCTTTGCAAAGTATCGCGAGTAAATGTTGCACACACTTCCGTAATCCGTGCACGCAACTCCTGAATGGAGTGACACTGAGTCTCGTATACTTTAAATTTTAGGTAACTCCATAGGAAGAAATCTAAAGGTGTTAGATCTGGTGATCTTGGAGGCCATTCCACAGATCCTCGGCGCCCGATCCATCGTCCTGCATAAACAGTATTCATATAAGTCCTTACAGCAACTGTAAAATGAGGAGGAGCTCCATCTTGTTGCAGAATAATGTCCATGTCAAATTCGTCTAAATTGTGTTCGACAGTTGCCACTATCAGTGGATCTATAACTGTTTCCAGCATTTCCAAATAGAGGGCACCAGTCAGATTTTCCTCAATGAATAACGGACCTATAATATGGTCACCCAGTATTCCTGCCCACACATTAACTTTTTGGGGAAACTGGGTGTGAGTTTCACGAAAAAGTCGAGGATTTTCATCAGACCAGTAGGTACCTCACATTTTTTCTATGCACGTGACCGTTAAAAAAAAAGTAGCCTCATCACTGAAACAAATGTGTTTCAAATAACTGGGATTTTGCAAAATATTGTTAGAGACAATTTCACAATATTCTAGACGGCGGTCTGGATCATCAGCCGTCAGTTCATGCACCATTTTTTTTGTAGGGGTGAAATTTAATTCAAGGCAACAGTTCTACTCGATGAAGACCGATTATTCACAAACTCGCTTATAATGACCACTTGGTTATCCTTACGCTGTAGTTGATCGCCCAGAATGTGTTTTATTTTGCACATTGCCGTTCTCATAAAATTTTTCCACTAGCTGTTTGAAATAATGTCTATCAATACGGCGATCTGGAAAACGTTCATTGAACATTCGTACAGCCTCATGATAATTGCGATGAGCCTCACCAAAATCAACAATCGCTTCGCATTTCTCATTTAAAGCACGTGGTACAACCATTGTGGAAAGATGAATATCAAGCATATCTAACAGTTGAATACACTGGCACACTCTCCGTGTGTTTCTTGTATTGATCAGTAATCCCTGAACATCCAAAAACATCTACAAAAACGTGCAGTTAATATCTACGCAAATGACAAAAACGTCTCACTCGACGTATGAA